ACCGTTAGGTTATATTAAGAACACCGAAAACAGTCGGGTGGGGCTTTAAATAGCGAAAAACTGCGTCCCATACTGGGGCAGTGAGAACGTTTGTGAAATCTCGTATCTAAACAGTTAAACGAGTTAACAATATGAACGCTTGACGTGACGCTTCCCATTTGAACGATTTATTTTCGAATAAGACACTGACACATATAATTTATTTTGAAATCAAATGACATTTTAAGATAATTTAATCAATTTACATGCATTATTCATCAAAATACTTTCTAAGTGTATTAAAACGCTTTTTGTAAACAGAAAAAAATACGAAACGTCAGTACGACATGGCACTGTTTACAAAGCAACTGGGACAATATGGTGGATGTTGCTGTGAAATAAATTCTAAGCGATTTTATTTTTGTAAAGTTTGTCAGTTTGCATATTTTATATGTGATTGTATATTTAAATTAGATTTTGCAAATTAGTACAGACTTTTTTACGTGTTTATAATGAACGAAAAATAATTAATTGATCAGAATATGTAGAACCGCAATAAAAGGATGTAATGTATTCTTTGTCTAGCTGTTTCTGTTTGAAAATTCAATACAGGGGAAATCATTCTAATGAGCACAGAATCGCGCACCAGAGAGGTTTGTGCTTTTGAACAACGGATTAACATCATGGCACACGGGTGGTAACCCCTAAGTGCTCCGTTCTTTTTCTAACTCAAGTCGAGTCCTAAGAATTTAGAATCTCAGCACAGTGCACAGGCTCTGTAGCACCGGTGAGGAGGATCCTGAAAATTGAAATAGGGTAGATTTTTTAACTCAAAATTTTGGGCTCTCCTCCGAACTTCTACCCCCGCATTATGGCGGCCTGAAATATCCGTTTGGGGCTCAGTCCAATGAAAAATGCTGACTTTCTGCCAAGGAACAAATCGCGGCAAAACTAGGATTACTTGACAATTTCAAGAGATGCAACATTGCAGACGAAGTAGCAGACGATAAAAGCGACCGTTGACAATGTCGAGCATTTCTGCAGACAATACAAGCAGACAAAAAAAGCGACCATTGACAATTTTTAGACATCACAGACAATGAAAGCGATATGGCGGATAGACCACGCACTCCCACGCAGATTAGCAATACTGTTCTTCCGATTAAGGATTTAGCAGCGGTAGATGTCAGACTTGTCGGCATGCGCAAAACACGATTAAATTCAATGGGGGCTAAACTAGGTGCCTGGGATTCACGAGCAAAGTAATTGGAGGAAGTTGCAGGAGATGCCTTAGCTGCTGTTTGTGAGTCCCTGCCATCTAGTTTAGCCCCTATCCGCGCCGTGTGGTTGGGGGATACGGTCGGCGGTGAAGCATAGTCACAGAAACAGGTCCGCAATTAACATATCACGGAGACCCTGTTAGAGCATTTGTTTCGTTTTTCCGAGCCGATCCTAGATTTGCCGCGATTTGTTCTTCGGCAGAAAGTCCGACAATGGAAAGTGTCAACGGTCGCTATTATTGTCTGCTGCTATCGTCTGCAGTGTTGCGTCTCTTAGAATTGTCAGGTAATCAGAAACAATAAGAAACAGGTCTGCAAGTAACATATCACGGAGACCCTGTTAGAGCATTTGTTTCGTTATACGGAGCCGGCATATTTTTAATAGAACTGAACCCCGAACGGATATTTCAGGCCGCCATAATGCGGGGGTAGAAGTTCGGAGGAGAGCCAAATTTTGCCCGGGCAGTGCTGTTCGTTAGGCTACTCTTGCCGATTTCCAAATGCCAAGGGATTTTTACGATTTTTATGCACACGGGCATCCGATCTCACTACCCAGAGACTAGGGGAGGGGGAATTATTAGAAGTCCAAGTCCATGCCTCGAAACTATCACCCAGCCCCACACACTACAGAGAAAAGCTGCTGGAATAACAAGAAGGGTTCCACTTAAACATTTAGAAATTTCAAAACTAGGACTACGGGCACTTAATATCATTCATTAAAGTGCAACAGATATGGTTTTTTGCCAGCTGCCACGCCAAAAGAACTATTCAGTCATTAAATTAATGGGCTCTCTGACTGATGCATCTGAGCGATTGTGTCTAAAAATATACCATAACAGGGCCTTACTGGGTAATCGACTGGAAATTTTTAAAGTGAGAACACAAATATAAAGATCAGGAACAATTGGGACATGCTCACCAAAAACATTTTTGAACAATTATGTGTGGAAATTGTACCCCAGAAGCTGTAAATAATGTCTGAAAATGTGGTCTTTGTGACTGTGGTGTCACTGAAACTCCGCTAAATATATAGGAACAAGGCACGACTAGTGCCGCCTTGGTAACGTAGCTTCCGTTTAGTTGCCTTTATAACCCTTCAATTGTTTTGATGTGAATTTCACTGTGCACGCTGTTAACAAAGTATCATGGACAACAACCGCATGGCTATAGATGCCATGATTTAATTGAGCAAAGCTGATATAGCCTCACCAAGCATTGATAACAGTTGTCATTCCCGGTGACAGATGAGCAGTAATAACGCATTCTTATGTTGCGACATCTCACCTTTAGACAACTTCAAACTAGCAGCAACCAGTATCGCACTCTACTAACCTAACAACCCATTGACAGCTGCAAACTCGACTACGCTGGTACTTGAGGCGAAAAAAGTAGCTCTCGTCAACTTCGACGACGACAGACTTGCCATCAGCATTAAAACCTCCTAACTCAGCGTTCGTAGTTAACAACCAGTTGTAACATTCCAGCCGAAAAGAGTTATTGTAGTTCACAATATTGTCCCAGCTTGTCAATCTCTTGAAAAACATGACTTGTTTTAATTTGACATCGTACAGCCAGTAAAAAAATCACAATTTTGTCAGTGGGTATGTCACAACTGGCAACGAACGAACCCGTACGTACATTGTGACAAGTATGACATCTACGACACCGCCAATCTGTCAGAAGATTACGCCCACACAATGAACAACATCAGGCGTTTGCAGGCAGAACAGTCCTCTGCATTCCTTATAATCTGTGTGTTGCAAGCCATTGCAACCACTGCAGTTTATCGTTCAATTCTTCATTAAGTCAGCAGGCCCGACATCTACAGCTGCCAGTTCTTGAATCAAGAGAACAAAATCGCTAATGTGTGTTGGAGCTGATCATCTGCTGCCTGCCATAGCAGTATTCATATATTCGCGCCACAAGTTAATCAATCCCCTGGTGTATTCGTTTGAAAGACATATTACTTTTACACACCATTGAGGCCCTGTTAGGGTATGTTTTTTGACCCAGTCGCTCAGACCCATCATTCGGAGGCGAGCCAACTAATGGATTTATCACAGATAGGGCCAGATACTGCAAGGCAACATTAAAAGAACAGCATCAAAGAAATCAGATCCATAAATTATAGCCTTGTGTAAATTTATATAAAAGGGCGAGAAGATTCTGGACAGCCTTTTGTTATGTTGCATGGAGGGGTATCAACACACGGATGGATACATCCAGTTGCAGATTGTGGAGAGGCATGATTGCCCACACCAGTCGGCAAGGCATTTGATGATGATGATGATGAAACCTATAAATAAAACAGATTTTATAGATAGAGCTTATGGAAGATCCTTACACACCCTCTTCCACAAACACTTCGATGAGGTAACGAGAGACACAGCAGAAGAAAGTATTCCTCTAGTTAGAGCATTTATATTCTGTACTGTAAACTGTATAGGACAGGGTTCTTAACCTGTGGATCATGACCTTTTTTTTGGGTCGCACAACCCTTTCACAGGGGTCGCCTAAGACCATAGGAAAACACATATTCATTGAAGTTATGAAGAAAAATAATTGTTTGGGGGTTGCCACAACATGAGGGAATTAAAGGGTCACGGCATTAGGAAGGTTGAGAGCTACTGGTATAGGAGGACTATTCAACTGGTGGCCGATAGGCCAAATGTTGCCCCTCGGAGGCATAGCAGGTGACCCGCAGATTGTTACCAGTTGTATTTTGTTTATGATCTTTCTATGCTGGGGCTCGGAACTCTAGGCGGTGATGATCCTCATTTTGGTCCCTGAATAAATTTAGTTGAATAGCCCTGCTATCTATATATAGTATAAATAAATACAAAATAATCTCTGCGCTGGCTGCTGAAGATGAGGGCGGAGTACACATGGGAATGCCTCAAGTGCTGTGATGTCAATTCTTGATTCAACTCAAGTATAAATAAATATTTAGCACACTCAACACTCAATTGTTTGGAATACCAGTAATGATCATATAATAATAATATTAATAAACCAATATGTCATTTTATTCTATCATTGGGCGTTCTAAGTTTATTAACTTCAAATTCAGCCTGCCTTGTTTACTGCAAAGGGAAGGTAACACCAATACACTTGGGGGAAGAAAAAAAGCACACTGCAGAACCTGTCGGGCCAGAAGAGCGCTGCTCTGTTTGCCAATCAGAGCTTTCCTTCTAGACCAGCTGTCAGCTAAAGCTAAGGGCCTGGTTTTGCCTTCCATAACATTTCAAATAATTTATTTAAAATACTTATGAAGATTTAGTAAGAGTTTGTGCTGTATTTTGTACTCCATTGATAAAGACTTTGGTCAAAACGTTGTTATATTTGTGTGTCTTTTTCATTCCCTCCATAGAGCTTTCTAGTTACATTTTATTTTGTATTTATAATTTTTTATAATCATTTAAACGGCAAAAGTTAGCAGTTTCCAATCTATCTAATCAGTCAGTCAGGAGCCATCTCCATTGTGAAGGTTGGCTGCAATGGATATCCACATGCTCTGTCTCGTGCGCTAGTTGTACACTTTTTCAGACTGCTGCCCCTCCATCTCTTGAGTTGTCCTCCCACTTGTATCATTGCCTACCTCTTGCTCTCTTGCTTCACCTTTTTATAAGTGTGTTATGTCTTTTAATGTGGCCAAAGTATTTCAGCTGTCTCTCTTTTTATTTCTTTCAGTACTCTGTCTAATACTGGATCTTGCTGTATTTTTTTTCAAATAGAAGCACAATGCCTCGAAAGCGACAGCGACAAGATGTTAAAGATGAGGCCGGTGAATCCCCAGCTCCACCAGAACCAAAAAAGAAACGGAAAATTTTGAATTACGATCCAGTAAGTATATAGTGACCATATGTCCCTTTTTCAACAGTCCTGTCACTCATCATGTAGCAGATTTTTTGCAGAATGTTGCTCTCATCACGGTCTGGCTGAAAGAAACTTGGTCTCTCGCCAGCTCTCCCGCCTCAGTTACTTTCATATTCAGTTCAGTAAAAGTACTGTTCTATCAGTACTCCGAGAAAATGTCAGTTATCCCGTTTAATAAAAATCTAGCAATAAGCTCCAGAATACACTTATAGTAGTTTAAAAAGCTAACTGGGCAATATCAACATTTACAAACTGACAGGGAAAATGTATAGATCAAGAGTATACACAATAAGAAAGAGACAAACACTGTTCTTTTTCCGCATAATTGGAGTACATCGTGACAACCGGAAAGATCAGTTGAAAAGGGGGAAAGGCAGACCAAGAGAGATTAATGCTGGATGGGCTGAAATGATGTCATGGAGCTATATCATCAAAAGAGCTGTTCCAGGGATCGTGATCTGTGGAGACGCATGAGTGCCTACGCTAGTTAGCAGGGCACATGATGATGATGATAAGAGTATGCACTACATTAGTGGAACCTATAAAATCAGGGCATGAAATCCAGAGAAGGATGGCTTTTACTATGTTTAGGCCCATGTTCTCATTTTCTTAAAATATGTTAGTTCCTTATTGGTTATTAATAATAATATATTCCAGAATGTTTTTGGGGGTGGGAGAATTTACTTATTCGGGATGTCCTGCTTTCCGATAAAATATTATGAGATGTGCTGTTTTCTGAAAAAATATTAGATATCCTGTTTTCAGCTCAAGATATTATGGTCATCCAGGTTGGAGACCACTGTTCTCCATAATTAAATTCTCATATTTGTATTTTCTTATATTATTTTTTAAAAGAATTGACAGTTGACAAATGTTTACAGCAGTAGAAAAGATAATTACCTAGCAGGCTACATTAAGAAGTGTTAACATAATTAGATAACTTCTGTCATCCTTGTAGCATGAAATCATCCACGAATTGTACGACACAATCCGCAACCACAAATGTGATGATGGACGGTTGATGTGTGAGGCCTTTATACGAGTACCTAAGCGAAGAAGTGCTGCAGATTACTATGATGTGGTTTCCACCCCCATCGACCTCCTGAAGATTCAACAGAAGGTGAAGACAGACAGCTATGACTATGTGGATCAGCTCAGCGCCGATGTTATGCTGATGATCAACAATGCTAAGGCATATTATAAGGTAAAGTTATGTTTCGACTCCACTGTTTTTTTTTTAAATTACATGTTGAGCATGTTTTATTACTTGTTAGGCATACGTTATGGGTATGTTTTATTATGGGCATGTAGCTCAGAGGTTATTAAATGTGTTTAACAATTTCATGATCGCCTTAAGGTAAGGCAGGGGGGAAGAGGACATTACTGACGCCTTCACAGATATCTCTAACAGGTGCTCTTCACAGTTAACAATGACGTTGACCTTTCATTCATAGCTTCTTGGACTCTTCTGGGTCACAGGGATGTGAGTCTGTTCCGCCCGGGACATCTCACGGAACGGCGCAGTGAACAGCGACACGCAACATTGGTCAGTGCGTTGCTCAGAGAAGGGCGCAATGAACAGTGACAACGCAACATCGGTCAATGTGTTGCTCACAGAATGGCACAATGAACAGCGACACGCAACATTGGTCAGTGCGTTGCTCACAGAAGGGCACAATGAACAGCGACACGCAAAATATCAGTGTGTTGTTCACAGAACGGCACAATGAACAGCGACACGCAACATTGGTTAATATGTTGCTCACAGAACGGCACAATGAACAGCGACACGCAACATCGGTCAATGTGTTGTTCACAGAATGGCACAATGAACAGCGACACGCAACAGTGGTCAATATGTTGCTCACAGAATGGCACAATGAACAGCGACACGCAACATCGGTCCGTGCGTTGCTCACAGAATGGCACAATGGACAGCGACATGCTGCCACATCGCATATCATCGGTGTCCCCAAAATAATATGTAATTAGGTGACACCCCTACACCCCTGAGGAGTCTAATGATTTATGAATGAAACAGCGCTCAGTGGGTAACCTAATTTAAACGTCACTGTTATTGTGAACAGCACCCGTAACAAAATATGGGAGACTGGTAAATGGTAATCTCTTCGGACCAAATCGTGCATCATTATCATTCGATAAGGGGAGAACTTACAAGAATGTCAGAGTTATAGTACCAAAAGTCTCATCAATCACCCCAGTAAAGTCATGCTTCAGGTACTCCTAAACAGACTGAAGTCTCAGGCAGAAGGATTCATAGCAGAGGAGAAGGTTGGTTGCGATGCTGGAAGAAGCATGGTTGAACATATTTGATACATCCATATTGTCAGAGCAGTACCACCAGCACTAAAAGCCTCTATACCAGTGATTCCCAAACTGTGCGCCCCGGGGAGCCGCGACCTCTTCACAGGGGCGCAGCGAAATATTGTAAAAGCTTCAAAATTAATTTAACCAAGACTCGGATAGTCATTCTTTTACTTGGGTTAGGGCGTGCCTGGACAAATTTGAATTGAAAAAAAGGCACTGCGGCCAAAAAAAGTTTGGGAAACACTGCTCCATACCATGTGTTTCATTGATTTCAAAAAGACCTTTGACAGAGTATGGCATGTAGCACTCTGGGACACTATAAAAAAAATACAGAATGGGTTAAACACTCGCTTTTTGCCAAAGCCAGAGGTACTCTTCTTCTTCGCATTCACCTGCTGCAAAATCTGGTAATGCGTCCACTTCCGAATTTCAGTCTTGTTACAGAATTTTAGTGTTGCATGCACATCTGTTTTACACATCTGACTTTTTTTGTATGCAGATTGTTGGTTTTTTGCCTCTGACAGATGCACTCCGACTTCAAAAGTCCCTCAATTAGTTACCTCATGCTTGTTATGGAAGCAGTGGGTCTTTTCTTGTTTTCCCTAAAATGGGGCTCTAGAACCACCTAGGGAATAATGTACTTTAATTTTCTTAACTGTTTTAAAACAAAGTGAATGGACTGTTGAAATTTCAGAAAAATTCTCAGGAGTACAAAGATGCCTGTGATCTTCTTATGTTGTATGAAGAGACAAGAGCAGATTTGGTCGAGGCAGTGTTTGGTGGCGGAGACAAAAATTGTCTCGCAAGGCACCTGTAGTAGTGAAGGAAGCTTCTGAAAATGAAGAAGAAAGTGCAGATGAGGAGGTTTGATTCTTTTGTTCTTATTTAATCTTTGAAAATATTTTGTTTTATTGTTACTCTTGATCCTCGTGTATGATGTCACAACATCTAGAATGAGAATGGAGGTGGAGGCAGTAACAGCAGCTTTCCAGTCAGTGGCTTCAGAGCAGCACAGCCTAGCATGTTGTAATTGTAACGGACTCAAGGAGCATGCTTTGGAAATTGGAAACTGGCGACCTACACATAGAGTGGCTTGAGTAATTTGATATGACTTATCAGGAACGTATCGTGGATTTTCTGTCCAAGACATTTGGGTGTGCTGGATAATGAGCAAGCTGATAGATCGGTTGCTGTCACTTTTTTTGGGCAGAGAGCTACTTTTTAATAAAGAAGACATGGTGAAGGCTCTCTGTGATCAAATGGAAAATGCAGTATTACAGAGAATCCATAGATTGAAAGGCTAAGGGGGGGGGGGGGGTGAGTGGAAGTACTGAACGGGAAACATAGGCAGACTTTAAATCAGTTTGCAGCCGGTACTATTAGCATGTAGACGTTTCGTTGGCTACTAAAGAAGGGGACGGAGCACATGTGGGAATATCCAGAGTGCAGCGAAATCAATTTTTGATTGATTGATTCATTTATTTTTTAAATTCTGTTGATGGTTACTCTATCATGCTGCTTGAGTTAGCTTGCCTGTGATTCTTGTGGCCAGTGTCTCGTAGTTATTTTAATCTCACTTCATTTTACATTTATCGTTACATGAATTCTTCTTCTAGTCCATTTGCCATTGAAAAGGCAGTTGTCACGTGTTGCGGTTTACAGTTGGACAGTTATGTCTGCGCCTTTCGCCTCCAACACATCTGATTTCAGAAAATCCTTTAAGCAGTCTCCCTTTTCTCCCTGTGTGGGTTCCAGGCACACTAGGGGGGGGGGGGCAAATAGATCTGCTCAGAACACTCCTCTCCTTCCGACAAGCATGTCATAACAGTCAACTAATTTGGTGTATTTCCTTTAAAGTTGGAGTACATCTGCCTGCGAGGCAAGGAACCATCACTGTGCTTACAAATAAGCCAGATTTTTAAAACGGATGTGCACGTAAAACTCAATGTTTGGAACAAGACTGAAGTAGCCTGAACAACCAGAAATGTCCTTAAGATTTTACAGTAGGTGAATGCTAAGAAGATGAAAAGAAAATGTTTCCTTTTATGACATGCTTACTAATGGGATGGGGGTTCAACTTTTTTTTTATAGTCATGGAATAAAATATTTAAAAAAAAAAAAAAAAACCTCGATTCATAAATATAATTTTGTAGTGAAGGAATAAAAATGTGTGTTTGGAAGACCTAGTAAAAGAGCGATATAAGTGCCCAGTTTGTTACCTCGCACAGTAAAGTTCATTTGTTGTTTACTGAATTCTGGGTCTGAAAGAGTTAACTTGTAATTTATATATATATATATATATATATATATATATATATATATATATATATATATATATATATATATATATATATATATATATATATATATATATATATATATATATATATATATATATATATATATTGTTTACTCAGTTCACATCCTTAAGCCTTTTTATCTCATTTTGCAGAGTGATGATAATGAGGATGAAGATGATGAGGACGAAGATGAGGAAGAGGAAGGTACTAGCAGCAAGCAGTCCTCTCGAGAGTCTTCAGGCGGTACATTTGAGGAGCTGGCTGATGATTTAGAACAGTTGTTTGCAGCTATTGTGACAACCAAGGACGGCGACAGAGACATCAGCCAGGCATTCCAACTTCTTCCTCAGAGATCGGTATTTGCCAGATTGTCTTCATACTTTAAAATGATTGGTTTTATAAAGAGGAATTCACATCTGACTTTTTTGCTTGTGCTAATAAAGGTTACTTTGAAGGGCATGCACTTCCGATAGATCACTTTAAAAAAAAAAGAGTTACACTTCCTTTTTGCCACAAATGTAATAAATCCACTTGCCACAGTAACCCCCCACCTCCCCCCCCCCCCCCCCCCCCCCCCCCCCCCCCCCCCCCCCCCCCTGCTGAGTCAGAGTGCATCTGCCTGAGAGGCAAGGACCCAACAGTCTGCATACAAATAAGGCAAATCTGCAGAATGGATTTCCACACAAAACTCAAGTCCTGGAACAAGAATGAAGGCCAGATATTAAAGTAACAACCAGAACTTTCTGCCAGAATTTACACCTGGTGAATGCGAAGAAGGTCACCCAAGTCTTACAAACTCGAGGGGATCAGTCACAATTACTATGGTTTGGACATTTATGCAGAATGGGAGATAATCGGCCACCTTAGGAGACCCAGTGTTCTCTGGAAAGACAACATCCGACAATCCTTGACTGACAGAGGACTTGAATGGAACAAAGCTAAAACAAAAACTGCAGATAAAGAAGTCTGGTGATCTCTCTAGTAAACCTACCCCCAGGGTAGAAGAGGAGCAACTAAGTAAAGTAAAGTGAAAATATGGAGAAGAAAATGACCAAAATATTTCACCTTTCTCATTTTTTCCTTCGGCAACACTCTTTTCATTCCTGTTCTGTCCACAATATTTGTAATTTTATCGTTTTTGTTTCTATAAAATACAATTATTCTCCTGTTTATCCAAATCTCCAGAGTACAATTTTCTAATTTGTTTTTATTTTTGCAGAAATACCCACAATATTACGAGGTGATTAAGAATCCCATAGACTTAAAGATGATTGCTACCAAGATCCAGACATCCAAGTACAAGAATCTAGATGAACTTGAAAAGGACCTGCTTCTGATGGTTAAAAATGCCAAGACTTTTAATGAACCAAAGTCTCTTATATACAGGGTGAGCTTTTTGTCAGTGATTGACTAGAATGTCTCACATACAAGATGATGTCTGTCAATGATTGACTGTCACTGGAGTGTCTCACATACAAGATGATGTCTGTCAATGATTGACTGTCACTGGAGTGTCTCACATACAAGATGATGTCTGTCAATGATTGACCGTCACTAGAGTGTCTCACATACAAGATGATGTCTGTCAATGATTGACTGTCACTAGAGTGTCTCACATACAAGATGATGTCTGTCAATGATTGACTGTCACTGGAGTGTCTCACATACAAGATGATGTCTGTCAATGATTGACTGTCACTAGAGTGTCTCACATACAAGATGATGTCTGTCAGTGATTGACTGTCACTAGAGTGTCTCACATAGAAGATGATGTCTGTCAATGATTGACTGTCACTAGAGTGTCTCACATACAAGATGATGTCTGTCAATGATTGACCGTCACTAGAGTGTCTCACATACAAGATGATGTCTGTCAATGATTGACTGTCACTAGAGTGTTTCACATACAAGATGATGTCTGTCAATGATTGACCGTCACTAGAGTGTCTCACATACAAGATGATGTCTGTGTCAGTGATTGACAGTTACTGGAATGTTTTGTATACAAGCTGATGTCAGTATCAGTGCTTGACTGTCACTAGAATGTCTTACTTACAAGTTGATGTCAGTGTCAGTGATTGACTGTCACTAGAATGTTTTATGTACAAGATCATGTCAGTGTCAGTGATTGACTGTCACTAGAGTGTCTTACATACAAGGTGATGTCTGTTTTAGTGATTGACTGTCACTATAGTGTCTTACTTACAAGTTGATGTCAGTGTCAGTGATTGACTGTCACTAGAATATTTTATGTACAAGATCATGTCAATGTCTGTGATTGACTGTCACTAGAGTGTCTTACATACAAGGTGATGTCTGTGTCAGTGATTGGCTGTCACTAGAGTGTCTCACATACAAGAATATGTCTGTGTCAGTGATTGACTGTCACTAGAGTGTCTTACTCACAAAATGATGTCTGTGATGAACTAGAGGGATTGACTGTCACTAGAATGTCTTACTTACAAGATGGTGTCAGTGATTGACTGTCACTAGAATGTCTTACATACAAAGTGCTGACTGTGTAAGTAATTGACTGTCACTAGAAAGTCTTACATACAAAGTGATGACTGTGTAAGTAATTGACTGTCACTAGAATGTCTTACATACAAAGTGATGTCTGTGTAAGTGATTGACTGTCACTAGAATGTCTTACATACAAAATGATGTCTGTGTTAGTGATTGACTGTCACTAGAATGTATTACATACAAAGTGATGTCTGTGTAAGTAATTGACTCACTAGAATGTCTTAAATACAAAATGATGTCTATGTTAGTGATTGACTGTCACTAGAATGTCTTACATACAAAGTGATGTCTATGTTAGTGATTGACTGTCACTAGAATGTATTACATACAAAGTGATGTCTGTGTCAATGATTGACTGTCACTAGAATGTCTTACGTACAAAGTGATGACTGTGTCAGTGAATTGACTGTCACTAGAATGTCTTTCATACAAGTTGATGTCTTGTATCAGTTATTGACTGTGACTAGAATGTCTTACAAACAGGATGTCTATCAGTGATTGACTGTCACTAGAACGTTTTAGATACAAGAAGATGTCTGTGTCAGTGATTAACTAGAATGATTGGCTGTCATTATAATGTCTTACATAACAAGATGGTGTCAGTAAATTGCATTTACAACAGTTTCTAAATATGTCACTTGTTGTTTGCATTCACAGTCTGTAAACTCTGGCGCTAAGTCCCAAGTGTTCAAACCCTAACACAAAGTCCAGGGTGTTTGTCCACCTCCGGACTTTAGTCTTGCTCCAGAACCTGAATGTTGCGTGCAAATCCCTTTCACACATCTGGCTTAATTGCATGCAGGCTTTTGGTTCCTTGCCTCTCAGGCAGATGCACTCCCACTTCAAAGGATGCTCCCAGTTAGTCGACTTCTACGACATGCTTGTTGCCAAGGCAGGGGGTCTCAACCGCTTCAAAGATAGTCAAGAAATTGTTGAATATAATTCCATTTCTGGTAGGTCTGCAGAAGGCATTCAACGATTCTGCAACTGATTCAACATCTATCTCATCATCGTCGTCATTTGCCCTGCCAACTGGCGTAGGTGCTCATGCTTCTTCACAGATCACGATCCCTGGTTGCCTGGAACAGCTATCTTAAGGATATCCCTCCATGCCATTGTTTCAGCCTATCTAGCATCATCTCTCTTGGTCTGCCGCTACCCCTATTTCCAGGGATCTTTCTAGTTGTCACGATGTTCTCCAATGCCCCTCCCCTCCTTTGTTGTTGTTGGCCCTTTGGCCCAATGCCTGTAGTGGAATTTGCATGTTTTCACAGGCTATTATTTTCCTCCATACAAGGTGTTCTACTTGACTGGTTTCTTCCCCCCCCCCCCACCCCCCCATACCCCCCCCCCCCCCCCCCCCACAACATCTACTTCGCGTAAACCTTTCTTTTTAATTAAAATTTGCAGAAACCATTCTTGCTAATTAACATTCCCTTAAATTTATTACTTGTCTGCCAAAGCAGATTTTTTGGGTTTATTTCCCACAAGAAACATGAATAAGTTTTTTTTTCAGCTAATGTGGCTCTGTGGTTGATCTAGCCTTATATCGTGTCTAAGAGTTTTTTGGGCATGTTCCTGTGTTGTGGGGTAAAAAAGATAACCCACTGCCTCGCCTGAGTGCATTTCTCTGAAAATCAAGGAACCAACAGTAAATGTACAAATAAGCCAAATCTGTAAAACAGATGTGCACGCAAAACTCAAATTCTTGAAAAAGACCATAGTGCAGAAGTGGACAAGCAACCAGAACTTTCCTTGCGAGTTTATAGCTTATGAACGCTAAGGGGAAGAAGAAATCTAGCAGGGAAAGGGAGAGAGGAAGGGAACTGGCCGCCCCAACTCATATGTTATGGCCTAGAATGTATAAAGGCATAACTCCATACACCCTAATGGCAGTATATTCAAAGGGACTACCCACTGGGGGTTGCACAGGGCAGAGGTCATCTCTTTCTTGTGGGACAGGTTAGCAAGTAAAATGGAAAGGTATTAAAAACCCATATGTGAAGAGATTAATGCTGCGAGGAATGTGTATGTGGTCAGCATCCCGCCAACCACCTTCACTTCCCAAGACTTTACCTGTTACCAATTTAAGGCTGGGTGGACGTGGGTGCCAAGGTCATTTTTTGAAAAAATCTGGATCAGTGGGAGCTTGAACCTATGACCTTTGAACCCACAGGCAAGCGTCTGGTCATCCATGGGGGTGCTTAATTAACTACTTAATTGTGTGTTTGAAAATGTTGCAGTCTATGCTTCTGTCATTCACAGGATGCTGTTACTATGAAGAAGGTGATAACAGAAAGAAAGCGAGAGCTGGAATATAAGAAATCTGGAACAGTTAAGACCAGCGAGAGGCTCAGGTAAAGCAGTAGTTAAGCATCGTAATCCCCACCTGGGTTCCAGGCCCCATTGTGGGGGAAAACAAGAAAAGACCCACTGCCTCCTGAACAAGCATGTCGTAAAAGTTGACTAATTGGAAAGCTTCCTTTGAAGTCGGAGTTCATCTGCCGGAGAGGCAAGGAACCAACAGTCTGTATTCAAGAGAATGAGATCTATAAACTGATGCACTCAGGTTCTGGAGCAGGACTGCAGATCAGTAGTGGACGAGCAACCAGAACTTTTAGCCAGAGTACAGCTGTGAACGCGAAGAAGAAGAAGACTAATTGGGGGCATTCTTTTTAGTCAGAGTGCATCTGTCTGAGAGGCAAGGAACCAAAATACTGCATACAAATAAGCTAGATGTGTGAAATGGATATGCACGCAACATGCAGGTTCTGGAACAAGACTAAATGCCGGAGGTGGGCGAACACCCAGAACTCTCCGCCAGAGTTTACAGATGTTGAACATGTGAAAGAAGAAGAAACATAGAAAGTTAACCTGGCTTGGCTTTGAGTTGCAAATGATGCCAGAGACAAGGACATAATTTTCCAGAAAGTAGTTGCGTATCCTTACAGGATGCTGCTGAACCAGTCACATCATTATTCGGCTAGGATTTTACTAGGCAATTCTACATTAGGTAGTTTGCAATTGGTTTCTGAATAGTCCGCGCTCAATACCACTGTCGAAACCAGCGCAAAGAAGTCTGCTGAGAAATCTCTCGCAGTTGGGATCAAACCCTGCACTACCGTGTTATGAATTGCGTTCGCAACACCTGAGCCAAAGATGCTGATAATTTTTTATAGCTTACCCATAAAACAAGGAACTTAGAACCTTGAGCAAATCATTGTGTGGTGGACATATTTTCCACAAATTCATCTTCTTTGAACATATTCAGTCATAAGCCAGATTTGTAGTGGAGTAACATGTTGAGCAAACCACACAGTGCACTCTTGATAAGGAGAGCTGACGGAGAGATCAAGAGATGGTTCTTCTTATCAGAAATTTCTTCTCTCCAGATGAGATTTCAAGCAAGAAATATTGTCGAGGATAAACAAATTGTTTTTCAAAACAGAAATTCGCCAGTTCATAATTGCCTGAAGCGGTCTGCACTGTACCAGTCTTTAGATTGAACAGTCTAGCATAACATGATTCATAAGGCTGGGAGTTAGCAGAAATTAACATTTTAGTTAAGTATTATATGCTAATACTGAAAGCTGGGAAACAATATGTGAAGTCCTTTACATTAAACCAGGAGTAGGCATGTTTTTTTAAAAATTTTCCCGGGCTAGATATAGAATCACCAACCATGTCACTGGCCATATAGAAAAAATCCATTATAAATATAACCACCAGATTTCTTCATGACACAATATTTTTGTGGCCTTTTGCCACAGGCTCACCCACTGAATATCTTCTATAAACTGCTAAATATGTCTGTTCGTGCTGGTTATTTTGCAGAAAACATATTAACGAGGGTTTAAAAAAAGGCGGGGGGGGGATTAAATGGTAAATTTACATTAGCCTCACAGGCCAGTAAAAATTGCTCGACGGGCTATAGTGTGCCCACCCGTTAATCAACACTTTGACAACATCATCAGTGAGAATGCCATTACTTTTTTAACTGAGTTTGACTGAGTTAAGTAGGTCCAATTGATGAATGAATTAACAAATGACATTAATTTAAGCATGATATTCCCACAAACGCTCAGTACCCTGCTTCAGTAGCAACAAAGAAATCCCATGTTGATCATGCTAAGGCGTAAAATAAATAAATAAATATCAACTAGTATATATTTCCTATCCCTCACAGAACTAAAGACAAGACCATCATCCAGAAAATGTCAGCGGTTTGTGCCGCCCTCAAGTACCCTTCAGACATAGATGATGATGCTGCATCGTCTAGTCAGTTTGAGATGGATTCTGAGGGTGAGGACGGAGGCGGCGGGCTTGTGGAAGATGACCCCCAGTGGATCCTCTACAACCACGTGAAGAATTTCACCAACTCCAAGGGAGAAGTGATTGCTGATACCTTTCAGAAGTTGCCAAGTAAAAAGTAGGCTACATATTAGTGCTGATGTCTCATTTTGTATTTTTGTTGTTCTCATTTTTCTGTTATGTTGAGAGGTAGATGAAGTGCATGAGGGTTCATAGCAAAATGTGAATGGACGTCAGCAGCAAAGCCTGGTATCTGAGAATGGAGGTGGAGGCAGTCACTGCTGCCTTCCGCTTAATTGAGAATCAGCTGTACACACATTTCGTAATTGTAACAAACTCACAGAGTATGTTGAGAAAGGTGGAGACAGGCATGCTCCGTGCAGAGTGGCAAGCATCACTTGCTAGGTAGAGGCCCCAGGTAGTTAGCATCCTTTGGGTATTTTTTCCAGGCATGCCGGTGTTTTGGGAAATGAGCAGGCAGATAGACTGACTGGTTCTGCACCACTGGTGGTTAATTGATATATAACAAGCTAGATGTTTGAGGGCTTTTTGGAAGCGAGCAAACAGTGCAGAGGCACAAATAGATCCCTACGGTCTGAAGAGAATAGCGCTGTGAGGAGTTACCAGAGGATCTGGTTGATGCTCATCACTCGAGGGAAAGGCGAGACAGATAATCAATCAGACAGTTACTGGTGGCATCGAAATTGGAACTCTTTACTTGCTGCTGAAGATGGGGATGGAGCGCTTATGGGAGTGTCAAGATTGCTAAGATTGTTAATTCCTAATTCAACATTCTATTGTGGTTTACAGTTAAGCTGCAATATCTGCACATTTTGGCCCATTTTAACTGATTTAAGCAAGTAAAGGACCTTTTTCTACGTCCTTAGCCGTATTGGGTATATAAAGCTAGACCTAAATTCTTTAGAGCAGTCGGCACTTTGTAGGTAATGTGGCCTGCATCAGACGGGTCGCCTTTATTCCCAGAACTGTACCTAGTACCCACTCAAAGCTAGACTTCAACAGCTAATCTGGTCAGTATTATGCGAGCTGCCTTTACCTTCTAATACACTTTCTTGTATATAAATCACTGGATCGGTCTAGAAGCCCAGGTCAGTTTTAAAAGTCAGATTTAGTGGGAACTCGAGCAGCAGGTACAGCAGAGGAGCTTCTCTGCTACTGCAAATCATAGATGATTGCTGCTTTCTGTCTTTCCAGAGGAAAAGTGGTCTCAAAACATTGTGTCTGCTTTAAGTGCTAGAGGTCCTGGGTTCAAGCCCCAGTGAGGGCTGGGATTTTTTCACGTGGACTTCTAGTAATTTTCTGTTGTTTCTGTGTAGTAAGACCGAACGCCCGTGTGTATTGTTGCCCATGTAAAAAATCCCTTGGCAGTTGGAAATCGGAAAGTGTAGCCTAACGGCGCTGCCTGGGCAAAATTTGGACTTAATAATCTACCCATAGTATTTCAGGATCCTCGCCGGTGCAACAGATTTTGTACACTGCGTTGAGATTCTTTGGACTCGGGCTTGAGTTAGAACGGAGTGCTTATGAGTTACTACCCTTGTGCAATGATGTTGATCCGTTCAATAAACATAGTGTTATACTATGCTGTAGGGAGACAGGGAAACCACACCAGAAAGTAATGGTGAGTGTGACTAGCAAAACCAGCTAGCAGTAAGAAAAAGTCTTCTACAATAACAGCACAGGATTACGCTTAAAGGTGCTGAAAAAGGTCCTTTACTTTACTTGTTTAGAACCGATTGGTCTATAAAATATAGGTCTAGCCCTATATACCCAACATGTCAGGCATGAAAAAGGTTCTTTACTTTATGTTTAGTGAAGATTGGACTATAAAAAAAGTATGGTTTCAAGCTCCAGGCTATCATTTGGTTCCAACTTCTGCTAAAGTTAAAGTGTCCATCTCGCAACACCAAGATCAAAATATATAAAATGTTGATAAGACCAGTCTTTTATATGGCTCTGAAACTTGGAGCACTACTAAAAGAGATGAAGCCCTATTACTGGTTTTTGAGAACAGGGTATTACGACGAATCTTTGAATCCATCAAAGATGCAAACAGCGGTGAATGGAGAGAAAAAAGCAACAAGATATTCATAATCTGTTTAAATCACCATTTATCACTGGCATCATGAGAGCCAATAGACTGAAATGTTTGGGGAATATTGAAAGAATGTCAGATGACAGAGAAGTAAAGACTGTAAACACAAGGGAGCTGAATGGTCATAGACCACGAGGTAGAACAAGAAGACGATGGAGAGATAATATCCTGACAGACCTGCAAACATTTGGTGTCACCAAGTGGAAAGAGAAGGCCAACTAGAAAAAGAAGGCCAACCAGAGAGATGAATGGAGGTGAGTGATATCTGCAGCACTGAACCTCAAGGGCTTGGAATGCTGAAGAAGGAGAAGAATTTGGCCCTATGCAAGTATTGTAACTTCCATGTCAGAAGCGATAATCAGTGGGAAACCTAATCACATCTGTCTTGCTGTCTGCTGTGGGCGGTCACGCTGAGTTTATCAGTTGGTTTGTTGACACCCCTCCATGCCATGACAAAAGATTCAAGAATCTTTTCATGCTGTCTTCCTCTGTCTCTTTTTCCACAAATCTTTCCAGTGGTCACAACATGTTCCATTTTCCATCTTCTCATAACATGACCAAACAATGATGAGTGTCTCTTTCTGGTGTTTGTGATAAGTTATCTTTGAGCATTCGCCTCTTGTTGCTCTTCTTAGCTATCAAGGAATTCTAAGGATTCTTCTGTAAAACCACATCATTTTTTTTTGAATGCTCTGAAATAGATTAGCCAGCTGTAGATTTGCATGGAGAGCTGTGGCGTTATTTGTGTCAACAATTTAAAAGCCAATTTATTTTAATATCACTGTCTATTTATAGATTCTATCCGGATTATTACAAAGAAATTAAAAAACCGATGTCCCTGAAAAAAATTCGCTATAAAATTGAGGTAAGTATGACTTGTATTTTCGGTTGTTATCGATAAGGTTGTGGTGACAGTGTTGATTACATGTTTTGGAGAAGCATGATCACCCATGCCAGTTGGCAAAACACTTGAGATTGATGATAATTGCTTTCGTGGCCGCATTGTGTGAGTTTGTGTGTGAGGTTAGACACCCGCCCCCACCCCCATTTAACAAACATGTTGTTAAAATCAACTAATGAGGGATATTTCTACAAAATATGAGTGCATTTGCGTGAGAGTTGAAAAACCAACAGACTGCATACAAGCCAGAAATTGGATGTGCATGTAAAACTGAAGTTCTGGAAAAGACTCAAGTCCAGAAGTGGACAAACAACCAAAATTGTCTACCGGGGTGCGGTTTGCAGCCAGTGAATATGTAGAAGAGGAAGAAGAAAATTTCATTTTAATATCAGCTAATAATTAGTTGTTTATTATTTTGATCAGTTCTTTGATCAGTTATTTGACCACTTCTTTTTGGTTTTAATTGTTAAATGTGTACAGGAAGTTTCAATGCCTGTTTTTTTAAAATTGTTAAATTTTTTATTTAAGATGAACATGTATGAGACGCTAATGGACTTGGCTCATGATTTGAATTTGACCTTTGAAAACGCCAAGAAGTATAATCAAGATGAATCGCAGATTCACAAGGTAGGTAATAAGTTTTTGTAGTGATTCTGACAAATCCCTGTGTAGGTTCTGGGACCCTATTATAGGGAAAACAAGAGTAGACCCACTGCCTACCAGAAGCATGTCATAACAGTGGACTAATTGGGAGCTTCCTGAGAGGAAAGGAACCAACAGTCTGCATACACATGAGTCAGATCTGTACATTGGATACACATGCAACAGGTTCTGGGACAGGACTGAAGTCCAGAAGTGGATGAACAACCACAACTTTCCGCCAGAGTTTACAGCTGGTAAAAACGAAGAAGAAAAAGAAAAAGATTCTGACAAATGACCTCATATTTTAATTATATGTTTTCCAGTAATGGAAATTACTTTGCAGTTTTTGTTCATATTTTATAAACCTTCTCTGCTTATTTTAATCTTGTTTATCAACCTGGTCAACAAATGCCTGCAGAAGTCAGATGTGTTGGCCCAAAGGTACAAATATTGCAGCCATGCTGTAAACGGGCACTACATAGTTACATCATGTGAATGTGAAAGAAAAAGAATCTTGATTTTGTTTTGCATATTTATGAAACGGGATATGTAACTTTAGACTCCCCACACCCTGCCCATATACACACTAGTTCATTTCTGATAGGTAGTTCCTGAACTTGTCACCTTAGCACAAGGTTACAGGGGTTTTGTGCAATGTTGTTGATTTCGCATGTTGTATATTTCAGCACACCAGCGCTTTTAACACTAAAAAAAAACATGGAGAAACTGGCCCTAACACAAAACACCCCTAGAGAGTGCTGCAACCTATGTCACAGGCATTCTCTTTCTCAGAATGAAAACAATAATGCAAGACAACGCAGAAAGCAAACAACAGAGTGGGACACACCCGTAACCTTCAGGAAAGTCGACCAGCTCAACAAACTTGTGAATGAAAAGTGACCTACTCTATTTCGGGAGATTAACGTTACTTTAACCTTATGAAACTCATAGTACAACTAATCAAATGCTCCAATAGGAGTATGAGTGCTTAGACTTCAGATAAATAATGTGGTGGGCATCCATATTTAACAATGTGGTGGGCATCCATATTTAACAATGTGGTGGGCATCCATATTTAACAATGTGGTGGGCATCCATATTTAACAGTGTGGTGGGCATCCATATTTAACAATGTGGTGGGCATCCGTATTTAATAATGTGGTGGGCATCCGTATTTAACATTGTGGTGAGCATCCATATTTAACAATGTGGTGAGCATCCATATTTAACAATGTGGTGGACATCCATATTTAACAATGTGGTGGGCATCCATATTTAACAATGTGGTGGGCATCCGTATTTAATAATGTGGTGGGCATCCGTATTTAATATTGTGGTGAGCATCAGTATTTAACAATGTGGTGGGCATCCATATTTAATAATGTGGTGGGCATCCATATTTAATATTGTGGTGGGCATCCATATTTAACAATGTGGTGGGCATCCATATTTAACAATGTGGTGGGCATCCGTATTTAATATTGTGGTGAGCATCAGTATTTAACAATGTGGTGGGCATCCATATTTAACAATGTGGTGGGCATCCATATTTAACAATGTGGTGGGCATCCATATTTAACAATGTGGTGGGCATCCATATTTAACAATGTGGTGGGCATCCATATTTAACAATGTGGTGGGCATCCGTATTTAACAATGTGGTGGGCATCCGTATTTAACAATGTGGTGGGCATCCGTATTTAACAATGTGGTGGGCATCCGTATTTAATATTGTGGTGGGCATCCGTATTTAATATTGTGGTGGGCATCCGTATTTAACAGTGTGGTGGGCATCCATATTTAACAATGTGGTGGGCATCCATATTTAACAATGTGGTGGGCATCCATATTTAACAGTGTGGTGGGCATCCATATTTAACAGTGTGGTGGGCATCCATATTTAACAGTGTGGTGGGCATCCATATTTAACAGTGTGGTGGGCATCCATATTTAACAGTGTGGTGGGCATCCATATTTAACAATGTGGTGGGCATCCATATTTAACAATGTGGTGGGCATCCGTATTTAATATTGTGGTGGGCATCCGTATTTAACAATGTGGTGGGCATCCATATTTAACAATGTGGTGGGCATCCATATTTAACAATGTGGTGGGCATCCATATTTAACAATGTGGTGGGCATCCGTATTTAATATTGTGGTGGGCAACCATATTTAACAATGTGGTGGGCATCCATATTTAACAATGTGGTGTTCATCCATATTTAACAGTGTGGTGGGCATCCGTATTTAATATTGTGGTGGGCATCCGTATTTAATATTGTGGTGGGCATCCGTATTTAACAGTGTGGTGGGCATCCGTATTTAACAGTGTGGTGGGCATCCATATTTAACAGTGTGGTGGGCATCCATATTTAACAGTGTGGTGGGCATCCATATTTAACATTGTGGTGGGCATCCATATTTAACAGTGTGGTGGGCATCCATATTTAACAGTGTGGTGGGCATCCATATTTAACAGTGTGGTGGGCATCCGTATTTAATATTGTGGTGGGCATCCGTATTTAATATTGTGGTGGGCATCCGTATTTAATATTGTGGTGGGCATCCGTATTTAATATTGTGGTGGGCATCCATATTTAACAATGTGGTGGAAATCCGTATTTAACAATGTGGTGGAAATCCCTATTTAACAAGGATTTTGAACAAGCCATCTCTTCCAACATAATCAAAAGTCTTAGTTTAACAAAGTGATTTTTTTTTTAAAAATGTAACAAAGTAATATTTAATAAAATGATATTTCAGTATGCAGTCGTGCTTCAGAGGGTTATGATTGAAAAGGTGAAAGAAATGGAACCAGAGCTTGCGGTAAGGGTCTTTTTTTGGAGGGGGGGGGGGGGGTGTTGTGTTTGATATAAAGTGGTTATTTAGACTTAGGGCACTTGTTCTGTTTTTGGATTCTGTTTTGTTTTGTGCTAGATATAAAGTTGTTATTTAGATTTTAAGGCACTTGTTCTGTTTTTTGTATTTTATTTTGTGTTGTGTTTGATACAAAGTGGTTATTTAGACTTTTTAGCACTTGTTGTTTTTCGATTCTGTTTTGTTTTGTGTTAGATATGAACTGGTTATTTAGACTTAAGGGCACTTGTTCTGTCTTTGGGTTCAGTTTTGTGTTTGTGCGTAATATTTTGGTTGTTGGATTACTGTTTCATGTTCTCATAAGTTTGTTGCCTCTACATCGTGTTAGTCGATAAAGTTTTGATGAATAGAGCACTAGAACAGAAAACTATATGTGAAATGTGTTGATGTCTCCGTAAGGTGACTAACAACACAAGAAGGTACAGGGTTACAAATATCAGCATTAAAGAGATAGCTGGAAAAAGACCATGAAGGGATTACATGGTTCCCATGTCATTCCCAGGGCCCCATTATGGGAGAAAACAAGAATAGACCCACTGCCTCCCCAGCAAATATGTCGTAGGAGTCAACTAAATGAGGGTTTTCTTCGAAGTTGTACATCTGCCCGATCAGCCAGGAACAACCAACTGCATACATATAAGCCAGTAAAATGGATGTACACGCAAAACTCAGGCCCTGGCACAAAGCTAAAGTTCAAAGGGATGAACAACCAGGACTGGCCAGCTGATGCTGCAGAATCAGAAGTTCAACAAATTATTCATGACAATTCCCACCCAGGAGATTTGATTATCTATACAGATGGCTATGTGTTGAGAGGCAGACGAAGAAGAAGTGTGAAGGTAACAGTTGAGGGAGTGAACTGGCTATCCTACGTCATTATGCTGTGTCCTAGCATAAGTGAATGCTTAGCACTTTACAACCCGAAGGCAATCTCTTTCATAGGGCAACCTCTGTGTTTGCTTAATACTGTGAAAAATACATAAGTTATTAATATTTTATCATACTTTATAAATTTATTATATCATATTATTAATAAATTTATATAACCACTTATTTTTTTTGCCATTTCTTATCTATCCCATCTGTAAAAGACTTTACAAGTGGCTTTATAAAGGTGAGGGTGTTGGCATGGTGTTGACTACATCACCCATTGAGTAAACATGTAGGTCTAACCATGTATGTCTGGTGCATGATATGGTGTCCCATAAGAGTCCGTACAAAGGAAAAATAAACATGTCACCAATGTCATGACAAGTATAACTTGAAGCTATGCTTGAATATGTTCTTTAGTAGTAGAGGACAGGCATCAGAATTTGTTTTTAGATCAGTTCAAGTCAGTTAGAGCATACTCCCTGGGTGGGTTCCCAGGGCCCCGTTGTGGGCAAAAGCAAGAATATACCCACTGCCTTTCCTACACACAAGCAGATACCCCGGAATACTAAAGTGAATCTTATCAGAACTAATTTTTGGCCAACACTATGCTATCAGTGCCAAACGTGGACACATCCTATAATAACAGTAAAATTGTGACAACACAGATGAAATGCCTTAGAAGAGCTGCGGGAGTTTCAAGGAAAGATAGAATACGAAATTAGACGAATGCTAGGAATAAAGCCAGTCTTACAGGTCATCAAAGAACAACAAACGAAGTGGTTTGGACACCTAACAAGAATGCCCTGGTACTATCTGCCACAGCGAGCCACACAAAAACGTTACAACGGATACAGAACGAGTGGAAGACCTAGGAAAAGATGGAGTGATGGCATTAAGAACAGCCTTACAGAAAGGAACTTCAGTCTTAATAGTGCCCTTGACAGAGCTCATTAACAAATGTTACATCTGCCCCCGACACTTCAATGAGGTACAAGATGGAAGAGAAGAAGAAGAAGCCTTCCCTACAAGCATGACATAGGAATCGACTAATTGAGGGCACCTTTGAAGTTGGAGAATATCTGCCTGAGAGGCAAGAAACCAAGAATTGCAAACAAGTAAGCCAAATGTGTGAAACAGATAAGCCTACAACACTCAGGTTCTGAAACAAGACTTGAGTCTGGAGGTGGACAACCACACAGAACTTTGTTCAGGAGGTTACGCGAAGAAGAAGAAGAAGAATGTAGAGCATATTATATAAATAATAATGGTTTTTATTTTCTTTTTTAAAATGTTTTTTTTGTAATGTATGAAAAATGCCCTGTACTTTTTTTACTTACTGTAGTAAGTCTGCTGCTAAAGTTATTTATGTGAGTGTGTGTTTGTCTTAGTTGGCATCTGTGGCTTAGGCATTGCGAATGCACTTAGAGTGCCAGGTTCGATCCCAGCTGTGGATGGTTTGTCTTGGGTTGGTTTCAACAATGGTATCGAGAGTTGACCGATCAGAAAGCAATGGCAAACTATTAAACATAAAATTAGCCTAGAAAAACCACAGCAGCCAAAAATGCTGGGGTTGGTTCTGCAACGTCTTATACAAAATACGCAACTAACTTTGTCTTATTGATACCCCAGGAAGAGTTGAAGGTTGAGGGAGATGATGACAAGGTCAGAGAGGAAGAAGACATTGTTGCTGGGGAGCGGGTGAGTTGCCTTGCCCTTATCACCATTGTTATTCTTTACCCTGAGTTCACCTTTGTTGTCTCTGACTCAGTGATGGTGTATCATAACTAGCGTGATGTTATCGTATCCTAACGAGCGTGATGTTATCTTCCCATCTGCATGTACTGGCTGATCTGAAATGACACCATTTTATATTTTAACATTTCTGATCACATTTTTTCATAGTTTATTTGAACATTTCCAGCAAAATTGTTTTATATTTTAACATTTCTGACCACATTGTTTCACAGTTTATTTGAACATTTCCAAGGAATTTGTTTTATATTTTAACATTTAAGACCAGTTTAATTATTATATCTAAATTCTGATTGTTAAATTTATTTTATGACTAATTGCTGTTTCTGGTTAATATTTAAAATGAACGTGAAGTTATATTTAATGTTCATCACATTTTATTAACGTTTTCTTACCAGTTTGTGACAGATACAGGATTTGTTTTAAAAAACTGTAGTTAAAAGTTTTTTTTTTTTTTACAAAGATGGAAATTTATCAGAGTATTTGTTAACAAGATGAAACTTTGTGGAGTATGCATTCAAGAGCTAACCTTTTGGAGACTGAGCCTTATTTAGAGTTTCAGTGCCAGGAAGACAGAGCCTTCAGGAGGGGTTCTCTTAATTTGCACACACAAAATTATTTTAAAAAAAAATAATATGATTAACATACATGAAACTGTATATTTTTAAAGGAAATTGAATGAACTAACACAGTCTTTATGAATCATGCTGACATTAGGTGGTATCTCAACATTTATTCACGTTAGCTTTGTTGATTTGCGTATTTATGCATGCAGTTGTTTTTTTTTTTTAATTTAAACTTAGGACAGACATGAGTAAGTTTAACAGTGTGGGTAAATTTTCTGAGGAATGAAGCTGAATAAGTCCAAACACTTTAGACACCTCTGGCACATGGTTCTACTCCTTTTCCTGCCTCCTGCAATATTGTGGTTGCTATGGCACTAGTCTTTTTCGCTATTGGTGGGCACAGGTGACATCTGAAAAAAAATTGATGTAAAATTACAGAACATAACAAACTTTCACGAAAATCCCATTGAACAGGAAATGCAAGAAGAATCTGATTGGCTGGTATGAAGACTAGCCACCCAAACTCAAGGCTTATATTACATATGTCCATATCCTAGGCACCTTAACCCTTTGTTGTGACTGGGCCGATCTTTTGAGCCAACAGCCAGGCACCTTTATATTTGGCGCGACTGAGCCAATCTATCCAACAGCAAAATAGTCAAAACAATGGCTGGGCCAACAGATCGGGCCAGTCGTCTTTTTGGCTATTTTGCTGTTGGGTCGATAGATTGGCTCAGTCGCGCCACATGTTAAGGTGCCTGGCTGTTAGGTCGATAGATCGGCCCAGTCGCGCCAAAGGGTTAAGGTGCCTGGCTGTTGGGTCGATAGATTGGCCTAGTTGCGCCAAAGGGTTAAGGTGCCTGGCTGTTGGGTCGATAGATTGGCCCAGTTGCGCCAAAGGGTTAAGGTGCCTAGCATATGGGCATGTAGCAGAGTAGTGTAACTACTACCTGAGAAATAGCAATGCACCCAGTTCCTGTGGCATAGGGACATAAAGCTTTTTCTGGTATTGATCTTTCTAAATTATTGCACTTGTCATAGTGGTTAGATATTTTAGTTTTTTAATCAGCTTTTGCTACAAAAGTGATAGCCACGAGGACATAATTCACTGTGTAACTACTACCTCAGAAATAGCAGAGTAATGTACCCAGTTCCTGTGGCATATGGACATAAAGCTTCTTCTGGTATTGATTTTTCTATATTATTGCACTGTTTATAATGGTTAGATATTTCAGTTTTCAGTCCGATTTTGCTACAAAAGTGACGGGGATGTAATTCATATTTTTTTTTTTACATAGAAGGAAGACGATGAGCTTCAGGTAGAAAATGATGTGTCCACCACCCCAGGCAATCGTGGCAGACATCGCAAGTCCAACCTGGCGATGACTATCACTCCAGACAGCGAGAAGAAAAAGTCACACAAGAAAGCTGTAGATGACAACTTGAGGAAACGACTGCGGATGTTGTTTTCAACAGTCTATGATTACAATGTAAGTGTTTATAATTATCGTAAATGATTTCATCCTCTGCAAAATTTGCATAAATTATTGACTTTGTCACACAGTTATTTTGTCTATATTTAATTTTTCTGTAACATTCTTCTTTTTCTTTTCTATACTCCTGAAATGCCTCACAATGCCACGAGAGGAAGAGATCTCTGGAATAAGCCTTTCTGTTCATTTCGCATGTAGTACTTTTTAGTTTCTCTGATATATCTGCAATCCTTCTTCTGCCTGGTCGACCTTTGGCACTGCTACCATTGTATCTGTATAACACTGCTCTCTGTGGTGCCCTGTCTGGTACTAATAATGTTACATGGCCAAACCATTTGATCTGATGTCTGTCAATAAAGTTTAGTATTGGTTCTGTGCCATCTCTCCTCCAGATATCGTTCCTAAGTTGATCTTTCCTTGTTACACCTTGCACAGTATGTAAACATTTCATTTTTATCGTGGCTATTCTTCTTCTGTTTCTGAAGACAGACATCAGTGTCTGACATTAATAGCACAGCTTTGGTAAGAACATTTTGTTGGACAATGCTCTTTTAGTGTTCATATTCATGTGTTTGCATTTCAAAATTGGTGCCATTTGGTCTGAACAAAATATGGAACTCTAAATTATATAGTTTTAAAACCAAGGTATTATTTTGAGTTCTAATATTTTTTTTAGTTTCTTATATTATTATTTCAGTTTTGGTGTTATTTCAGCGTTAACAGATGCTGATGAAAGTTGGAGAACTACTAAAGATGTGGAACAAAAGTTGAGTGTGTTTGAAAACATGTGCCAGTGCAAAGTAAATTCAAAATTAGAGAAAAAAAAAAAACAGTAATTCAACAAACATGACCCAATTGACCGGTTGGAAAGACTACCTTTTGTCTATGCCTGCCACCTTTTGAACTAGACGCATTGTAAACAAGGACAGTGCATTTACACTTCTTCATACTTCATCCAATAACAGAGCGCAAAGATTTCCTGAAGCCACCACTATTCAGAATTATTCAGACAGAAAGACATAAAAGCGAACCTGCATTTGCCCTGGTAAATGCACCTGTCTAGATGCAGCAAAATGTGCCAGACAATAAATAGTTCAATCTATTGTTTGTTTCTTTTTTGTGACAAATTTTTTTGGGGTTTTTGTTTTGTTTTAGGATGTCAATGGCCGATTGTTGAGGCCAATATTCATGGTGCTGCCTTCTCGGAAAGATTACCCAGACTATTACCAGGTTATTATGGAGCCCTGTTGACATGACCATGATCGAAGCCAAGCTGAAGGCAGATAAGGTAACAGACTGCTAGTTTGTTTCTTCTTTGCGTTCACCCGCTGTAAACGCTGGTGGTAAGTTCTGTTTGTTTGTCCACCTATGGACTGGTATCCTTTTCCAGAACCTGAGTGCTGTGTACACATCCATTGTACAGATCTGACTCATTTGTTTGCAGACTGTTGGTTCCTTGCCTATCAGGCAGATACACTCTGAATTTGTCTCCATTTAGTCAACCCCTGTGACATGCTTTTGGGTGGGCAGTGGGTCTGTTGTAGTTTTCTCTAAAATAGACCCCCGGAAAACACACACAAACAGCAATGTCTTTGCCAGACGAATGGCTACAAAATAAATCATGAACATGCACATTTTTAGGAAAACCCATTAAAAAAATTATTTCACACTGGCGTAAAATAATTAATTTGTTTTAGTCTTTTGACCACAGCATGAAAACATATGAAAATGCAGATTATCCGTTTAGGTTTCAGTAGGGCTTTTCTTTTAGGGGGAAAAGTGTTGGTGGTCACCGTATAGATTCTATTAGAGTAGCGCTTGCATAACAGATTTGTCCTGTTGCATACCACCAGAAAGAAAAGAAAAAAGCCACGGGTTCCAGAAATTTTCTAGTGTCATGAAAGTTCTGTAGTCTTTTTCTTTTCTCATATTAATATGCCACTTTGGCCCATGTTTGTCTGTACACTGCTATGTAAATAATTGAATGAACCCACCACTTAAAGTTTAATTACACCAAGATTTATCTATTACCGCTTGCTCTGTATATGGAGCTGCCATGGTGTAGCGGCTAGACGCCTATCCTGCGGATCCGAAAGTCATGAGTTCTAATCTAGACAATGCTGGATTTTTTCCTAAAAAAATTGCCTTTGCTGCCAGGTTGAACCAGCCTTAAAGGGGGTACCAGGTAAACATCTTTAGAACTAAAGGTGGCCGACATGATACTGACTGCATCATCACCCCCCCCTCCCCCCAAGTGCTGATTGGTCTATAAAATATAGATCTAGCCATATATGCCTAAAAGCATGAAAATGGGTCCTTGGCTGGTATGTATTCTAACTATGGTTGTATGTTGTGTCTGTTAGTGAAATGATGTTATCCTTGGTGACATGATATGTTAAAATTATAAACTTTATAAACTGTCCCCTCCATCTTGTCAGTACTCCAGCGAGCAAGCCCTGCTCTCGGACTTTGAGCTGATGTTTAATAACGCTCGCCACTACAACGAGGAGGGTTCCCAAGTCTATCAGGATGCAGACACCCTGGACAGGGCCCTGCGTGCCAAGTGGAAGCAGATGTCCCACACGGTGAAGACTCCAGGCAGCAGGAGGTAATACAGTCACAAATCTCCTTTTATTCTGTTGTTTGTTTGTCTGACTCTATGTCTGACAGTTGTGTCTTTCAGTTTGGCACATGGAAATCTCCTTTTATTCTGTTTTATATTTGTTGATGCTCTATGTCTGACAGTTGTGTCTTTCAGTTTGGCACATGGAAATCTCTTTTTTTGTTGTATGTTTGTTTGTTGATATTCAGTGCCTGACAGTTGTGTCTTTCAGTATGACACTTGGAAATCTGTTGTTTGCTGATATTCTGTACCTGACAGTTGTGTCTTTCAGTTTGGCACATAACATAAAGTGCTTAAGATTAGTTTTTTGGAACCAATTTGCCCAGAAAGCCACGGAAAACCCATAAACCTAGGAATTCTAAGAAAAAATCTTTAATAGACGATTTTACACAGGTCACTAATGAATTTAAATAAATGTATTTATATACATTACAAATATTTTAAAAATTAATTTTTAAAAAGACTGACTTCTGTGTCTCAAAGTCCCTGGAATGCAGCGCATTCAGTAATCTGCTCTGTCCATACTCCTTCACTGACATCTCCTGAGGGAAATGAGCATGCATGGGTGTATTCTTAGTACTGTACTGTGAATTCTAGTCAATTAGTACATCTATTTTCACCAGATCCAAGCTGTCAGAGTGTAATCCCTTGCTGGACAAGCTTCAGGATCTCTACGAGAGTGTCAGAGACTACCAGGATCGGTCTGGAAGAGCTCTCTCATCTCCATTTATCAAGCTACCGAACAAAGCTGTAAGTAAAACTGGTTTTTCTAAAAAGTGTTATCTCTTCCTCATGTATCTTGCTGACTGGTATAGGCAGTCATGTCGCTTTGCAACCCTCACTCTCCAACACTAATTATTCTTTTTCTTCGCGTTCACCAGCTGTAAACTCTGGCGGAAAGTTCTGGTTGTTCATCCACTTTTGAACTGCAGTCCTTTTCCAGAACCTGAGTGTTGCATGTGCATCCATTTTACAGATCTGACTCATTTGTAAGCACACTGCTGGTTCCTTGCCTCTTAGGCAGATGCACTTTGACTTCAAAGAAAGCTCCCAATAAGTCAACTCTCACGACATACTTTTGGGTAGGCTGTGGGTCTATAACTTTTCCCCCTCTATAATAGGGCCCCGGAACCCACACGGGGAGCTAATTATCAATTCATGAATAATCTGTCCATGCACTAATGTCATCATCATCAGATAGCAGGTCCTTTACAGAACTTTGCTCCCATCACGGTCTGCCTGAAAGAAACTCAGTCTCTCGCAAGCTCTCCCCCTTCATGCACTTTCATATTTTAGAAGTCACTTATATCCTGTGCCTATCTTCATGTTGGTCAGCCGCTGCCCCTACTTACTGGTATCATGACTTCTGCTATAATTTTTTTTAATCCACCCTGGTGCTTGATTTGACCAATATATTTCAGCTTCCGAGGCTAGATGCTGTTTATTAGCCAAACTTCCTTGATAATCTGATCTTTTAAAATGTCAGTACTTTTTCTCTTCTTTGTCCATGATATTCTGAGAATATTTCTGTAGCATTTCAGCTAAAAAGCCCCTATTTTCTTTTTATAAGGACTGGGGGATAGTCCATGACTCACATCTGGTGTTGCTACATGGAAGATGCATCCTCTCAGAATTTTAGTTTCGATTTCTTTGCTGGTGCTTAACTATAGACTTTTAATGCTATTTAACCTTTGTATTGCTATGGCCATCCTCCTTTCGAATGCACCAATGTAGGACTGTCTAATCTCTTTGAATCCATTCTCTCCCTTGTGAGTTTCATGACCCCATTTTTGGGTGGGGGGAGGGGGTAGATCCACTGTTCTCCCCCCCCCCCAAAGAGTGTTTGTGTGCATCTGCCTGAGAGGCAAGGAACAAACTGTCTGCTTACAAATCAGACGTATCTTTAAAACGGATGTCCAACCAGAAGTGAACATAAAGAAGAAGAAGAATTTATTCTGTTTCGTATTCTTTGTATGTTTTGCATGAGGCCTAGCGCAGTAAGCTATAGAGAGGAGATTTCTGAGAGAAAGACCAGCCTCAGTAATAGAGTGTGATTGTTTTTATACAGATACTGACACTCCCACCTAGGGCTTTACAGTCATAGCAGATTCTGTTGCCAAAACCAGCGGCAGGGCTCCATGATCCCTAGGGCTTTACAGTCATAGCAGATTCTGTTGCCAAAACCAGCGGCAGGGCTCCATGATCCCTAGGGCTTTACAGTCATAGCAGATTCTGTTGCCAAAACCAGCGGCAGGGCTCCATGATCCCTAGGGCTTTACAGTCATAGCAGATGCTGTTGCCTGAACAAGCGGCAGGGCTCCATGATCCCTAGAGCTTTACAGTCATAGCAGATGCTGTTGCCTGAACAAGCGGCAGGGCTCCATGATCCCTAGGGCTTTACAGTCATAGCAGATGCTGTTGCCTGAACAAGCGGCAGGGCTCCATGATCCCTAGGGCTTTACAGTCATAGCAGATGGTGTTGCCTGAACAAGCGGCAGGGCCTGCACAGGGATCCCTGAAATGTCAGTTTATCAAGAGATTTTGGGCTCGAACCATATCCACCGAGATGCCACAGTGACACGAAGACAAAGTCTGCTCTTTATACCTTTGTTTTTACTTCATTACAAAACTAATATGTCAGAGACAAAATATACAAATTTGCGGGACATCAGGAGCATCTCTTGGCAGTGGTGAAAGCTTGGTTTAGGCACGTGGTGAGACATGATTCGATTGCAAAGACTGTACTTTAAGGAACATTGGGGGTAGTTGAAGAATATGAGGGCAAAGAAGAAACTGGAATGACACAACATCAAGAAATAGACAAGACTAAGTTATCATACACTTATTCATCAAGCAGAAGACAGAGAGAGATGGCGGGTTTTATGTGCTAGTGCTTCCATCAGTACACCTCCACGACCATAATGGGTCAAGAGTTATGTTATGTTATATTACTTCTTCACAAAATAAATTACCTGTGCATTTGCATTTATTTCCGTTTCTTTGGAATCCATATCTCTAGGACTACCCGGATTATTATGAAGTCATCAAGCGCCCGATAGACATGCAGCGGATCCAACAGAAGATGCTGGCGGGACAGTATGACAGTGTGGAAGACATGGTGGCTGATTTTGTGCAGATGTTTGATAATGCCTGCAAATACAATGAGCCCGAATCGGTCATTTACAAGGTAATGTTTGTGATTTGTGGCTCTAGCAGTAGTACATTTCTGTGTGCACTTGTATGGCTGTGCCAACATTCCCTGTGTGTACTAATCTGACTGTACCAGCCCTCTTGTATATTTATCTGACTGTATCAGTCCCCTTGTATATTTATCTGACTGTACCAATCCAGTGTATACTTATGTGACTGTACCAGCCCTCTTGTTTACATATCTGACTGTACCAATCCTGTGTATACTTATATGGCTGTACCAGCCCCCTGTGTGCACTTATCTGACTACCAGCCTCTTTTGTATACTTGTCGAACTGTACCAGCCCCATTGTGTATTTATTTGACAGAACCAGCCCCTCTCCTGTAAAGTTATTTACATATGGGGACTGTTGGCTAGGGTACTCTGCCGTTTGTTCTTGTTGTGGTTTGTGTTGAGAAAAACCAGATGCGGTCACAATGTCCGATTTGTTTTGTTTGTTGTGTGTATACATTGTAAATTGTGTTAAATCATTTATGTTCAGAGTCTGGCAAAATAATTTCGAGAAATGATCAGATTTTGCTTTGAACCATACAGTCGTAGAGTCTGACAAAATAATCATTTTCATTAACTGTGTCTCAGATTTTGTGTTGGTGATAGTATGATGTTATGTTTGGTGATACTGTGAATGTTATGTTTAATGATACTGTGAATTTTATGTTTAGTGATACTGTAATGTTATGTTTGGTGATACTGTTGATGTTATTTTTAATAATACTGTGATGCTATGTTTGATGGTACCATTATGTTTTTTTTTCCAATACTGTGATGTTTTTTTTAGGTGATGCTGTGATGTTATGTTTGATGATACTGTGATGTTACATTGATGATACTGTGATGTTGTGTTTAGTGATACTTTTATATTTGCTGATGCTGTGGTGTTGTTTGGTGATAATGTGATATGTTTAGCGATACTGTTTTGTTTGGTGATGTTGTAGTGTTTTGTTTGTTGGTACTGTGATGTTATTTTTTGTAATACTGTGATATGTTTAATGATACTTTGATTTTATCTTTAGTGATACTGTGATGTTATCATTGATAATACTGTGGTGTTGTGTTAAGTGATACTATAATGTTTGGTGATACTGTGCTGTTATCTTTGGTGATACTGTGATGTTGTGTTAAGTGATACTGTAATGTTTGGTGATACTGTGATGTTATCTTTGGTAATACTGTGATGTTATCTTTGGTGATACTGTGATGTTATCTTTGGTGATACTGTGATATGTTTAGTGATACTGTGATGTTTGGTGATGCTGTGGTATGTTTTATGATACTGTGTTGTTATGTTTAGTGGTACTATTATGTTAGTTTTTTGTAGCTCCCCTTGTGGGTTTCGGGTCCTTATTATATTGAAAACAAGAATAAACCCACTACCTACCCAAAAGCATGTCGTAAGAGTCGACTAATTGGGAGCTTCCTTCGGAGTGCATCTGCCTGAGAGGCAAGGAACGAGCAGTCTGCATACAAATTAGTCAGATCTGTAAAACGGATGCACACGCATCACTCGGGTTTTGGAACAGGACTGCAGCCCAGTAGTGGATGAACAACCAGAACTTTCCGCCAGAGTTTACTGCTGGTGATCGCGAAGAAGAAAGAAGAAGATAATACTCTAGTGTTTTTTGATGATACTGTGATGTTATGTTTGCTGATAACATGATGTAATGTTTGCTGATGCTGTGATGTTTTGTTTGGTGGTACTATAATGTTATGTTTGATAATTAGATGTGATGTTTAGTGATACTTTGATATGTTTTATAATGCTGTGGTGTTATTTTTGTTGATACTGTGATGTTATGTTTGATGATACTGTGATGTTATATTTGGTGACTGTTGCAGGATGCCCTGACTCTGCAGCGAGTGTGCTTCCAGAAGAAACTGGAGCTAATGTCTGACTGCATGAATGAGGTGCCTGATGTCAAGGCACTCACACAGGAGCTCATGAAAAATCTCTTTATTTCAACTTTTAATCATGAGGTATACCTTGTTGTCAACTTCTTCTTCTTCATATTTGCTTTTCCTTTTCTTTACCCTCTTTTTCTCTTTCTCTCTATATCTTTTCTCCAGGCAATGCCGATGTAGTGGGTAATAAACAGGCAGACAGATTGACTGGATCTGCACCACTGGGTGGTGAATTGATACATGACAAGGCAGATGTGGCCAAGACCCTTTGGGAACAAGCAACAGAATCAGTAGAAAAACAAGATAATTATGGCCTGGGGAGAACGAGGCACCTTGGTGTAACCAGAGGATCTGGCTGGCTCACTACACTCAGAGGAAAGGCAAGACGGACATATAACCAGATTGTGACCGGTACCATCAGTACTGGAACTCTGCACTTGCTGCTGAAGATGAGGACGGAGTACACATTGGAATGCCACGAGTGCTGTGATGTAAATTCTTGTCTCAACTCAGCTCTTTCCCTCTCCATCTTTCTTTTTCTCTCAGACATGCACACATCATCCCACGCATGAGGGAGAGAATAAAGGAAAAGACTTAATTTTTGGGCAGGCAGGCTCATCTTACATTTGGCCCTCTAAAATACTCTTCTTTCACACAGCAATTGAATTTTTTCTATAAAGCATCTTATTTTCTTATATCAGTATACATAATATAAATATCAAGTAAAAAACATGACAGCATGGATGGATGGAGAGAGGATTAATTGTTTATGAAGGCTCAGTGATTATCTGATGATGCATTTTTTATATTTACCTCGGCAACATCGTTCTATACATAAAAAAGCACATATAAGCATATTGGCATGTGCAGAGTGGTGTGTAGATGTGAGGAAATGAACATGTTTGTTCTACAGACAACAATCATGATGAATTCTCTAACCTTGGTGACCTAGAAAAAATATAGCCAATGACCCGTATTTTTGGACCCTCATACTTTGAGACTCAAACTTTTATGATGTACTCAGACTTTTATGATGTAAAACTCATACTTTTAGGATTTCAAACTCATACTTTTAGGATTTCAAACTCATACTTTTAGGATTTCAAACTCATACTTTTAGGATTTCAAACTCATACTTTTAGGATTTCAAACTCATACTTTTAGGATTTCAAACTCATACTTTTAGGATTTCAAACTCATACTTTTATGATGTGAGACTCATACTTGTATAGACCAATCAGCGCTCGATGGGTGATGTGGTCAACATCACTCTGGCCACCTTTACTTTCCATGACACACTACCTGGTACAAATCTTAGGCTGGGTTGATCTGATACCCAAGGCAAATTATGCGGTGTGGGGGGGGGGGGGGGGGGGGGGGGGGGAGATTTCACTTCAATGCAGATTGAAACCAGTGATCTGCAGCCCAACGGTGACAAATTAACCACTGTGGTACAGAGACTTGCAACTTGTTAGGGATTCCAGAATACATGTTGCTCTTCATATTTCAACGGGGCACATTCTTTTCTTTCCAGGATGAAGAAGGCAGGTGCTACAGTGACTCCTTTGCTGAGTTGGCGGAGAAGGATAAAGGTCTGCTTCTCAGCGGAGAGGTTACAGAGTAAGTGACTTGTCTGAAATATGTCATTGCAGTCATCATCATCAGCAGCAGCAGCATCATCATCACCAGCATTATCATCATCACCAGCAGCATTTGCATCATCAGCAGCAGCATCATCATCATCAACAGCAGCAGTAACAGATCCCTTTTCTGGCTTCTTTGTTGCTTTGAAGACACAAACACAGATTGCTCAATTTAATGCCTGGCATATTTCGCTATATCTCCTCAGATGCATACAAGTTCTTCATGCCCTGCAGCATTGGTAGTCATGTCTGTCCATGGCCTTCTGTCTCATGTACTTTCAATCAACTCTGACACAAATGATCCTCCATGCCATGATGTCAGACTGTCCAGCATCTTTTCTCTTGCCCCCCCCCCCCCCCCCCCCCCCCCCCTCCTCCGCCTCTCCTCTGAATTTCCTGCTGTCACGATGTAGTCCAGTTTTCTCCTTTCATCCAAAGAATTTAGATTGTCTCTTTCTGTTGTGGGCAATCAGTTCTTCTCATGAGTCAGTTTCTTTCGACATCCTCATAACTCTTTTATCTGTCCAGTGTATTCTCATCATTCATTTGTAAAACAACATCTCCACAGCTTCTAAATAATTTTTCACTTATCTACCAACTGTCCATGGTTGACCTCCTTTTATCAAGATAAGGTTTATATTAGCTTTTGAGAATTATCTTTCTTGCATGCTACAGTAACAATTTTATAAGATGAAATAAATAAATGAGCCCTTTCAGCTTAGATATAATCAGTCAGCTATGCTCAAATGCCTGTTCTCCCCTTGCTTGTTCTAGGGCCCATTTGTGGGGGGAGGGGGTGAGAATAGACTCAGGCATGTCATAAAAGGCTACTTATTAGGGATTTGTTTCTCTAAAGTCAAAGTGCATCTGTCTGAGAGGCAATGAACCAACATATAAACCAGCTCTGTTTGTTTGTTTGTTTGTTTTAGTATCCAGAAGCCATGAGTTGTTAACCCTTAGGCTCGGTATTATGGATATCACAACCTTTCGGCCTTGATTCCATTGTAAATACCGTAAATCTGGGAGAAAATGTGGCTTTCCTGCCTAACCCCGGGATTGAACCCGGACCACAAGGAGTACGTCACCCGGTCTCCGCGAAATCCGGTTTAGCCAATTCCGCTAGAGAGCCGGTCTGTAAAATGAATGTGCATGCAAAATTCAAGTTCTGGAAAAACAAGACTAAAGTCTAGAACTTTCTGCCAGAGTTTAAACTGTGCATTGTGGTTTTATCTTTGACAGTGCATGTGAATTGGCTGTGTATCTTAGCATGGTGCTCAGTATGTAGTCGCCCACCAGGGAAACAAAGAATAGTAACATGGTACCTAGCGTACATAGCTTGTCCCCATAGGGGTCCTGAGTCTCCGCTAGGGGTGGGGGTAGAGGGGAAATAGACCCCTCCCCCCAATAAACATGTCTTTAAAGTAGACTAGTTGGGGGGAGGAGGGCATGTCCTTTGATGCCAGAGTGCATCTGCTTTTAAGGCAAATGACCAACAGTGTATGTATGTGTGTGTGTGTGTATATATATATATATATATATATATATATATATATATATATATATATATATATATATATATATATATACACACACACATATGCACGCACGCCCCCCCCCCCCCCCCCACCCGTAAAACCAATGTGTAGGCAAAAATTCAAGTTCCGGAACAAGACTGAAGCCCAGAAGTGGACGAACAACCAGAAATTTCCACCAGAGTTTACAGCTGATGAACACGAAGAAGAAGATCCATAGCCTGCATAGCTCTAAGAAGTTTTTTCTCCCCCCCCCCCCCCCCCCCCAAAAAAAAAACCTGTAAACGACCGTTTTCATGCCATTGACACATTGATAAAATGATGCTACTCATATTTAATAGATCAATCCATAACTCAGTAAGTGGTGCGGTCAACATCACGATGGCCGCCTTTACTTCTAGGACTTTACCTAGCACCTATTTTGGGCTGAGTCATTAAAAATCCCGTGTGGTAGAAATGTTAACCCAAGATCTTTAGGTTGTCAGCTCAGCATTTAGCCGCTGTATAACAGTGTACCTGACATAATTTATATTTGAATCATTCATAACAATAAACAGAAATATGGATGCACTAGATAGCAGACTTTCAGACACTTTGATAACTTGTTTCATAACATTTACATTTGCAGACGACCAATCACGTTTGACCAGATCAAGCGAAATCTGGATAAGGTAAGCTCTTATACCCCATTTGATGGTGACTGTATCATTGCTTGTTGTAACCAGGTTGTCTTTGTTCTGTTATATTGCCTGATTGGGCGTCAGGAAACAGTTTAAAGTTGACAGTTAAATGATGGGTTAAAATGTTGCTTCTCTGCGAGGAAAATGGTGTGGGTACTCACCACAAAAAGTGAAAAATTTGCTGGTACTCACTTTAAGTCTGTGTCTCTGGCTTAGGTGTTGCGAACGTGCTTTTTTAATACCGGGGTTCCGGGTTTGATCCCAGCTGCGGGTCTTGCGCCTTGCGTTTATTTCGACAGTGGTATTGAGAAGTCAACTGTCCAGAAAGCAATGGTAAACTACCGGATGTAACCATGCCTAAAAAACCCACAACAGCCAAAAAATGCTGTGGTTGGTTCTGCAACAGTCTGTAAAGGATACACAACTAACTGTTTTAATCTCACTATAAGTTGTCTATTACAATCGCCCTGAAACAAATGATGCCTGAAAAATAGTTGCTAGTACTGTGTAAAGATATAAAACCGAACTAAAAGTATATCAGCGATCTTTACAATATAACAAACATAAACAAAATGTGAATGTTGGGGCTATGGAGCCTTCTTCAGCACATACATAGATTAGACAATACTACACAAATACACAATATCACTTATCTTTGTATATCATGGCAGCCAGGTCGATGTCAAGATAATAGTCTGGCGACGGCACATGGGGCTGGGAAAATAAAAGTCCAGGAATATGCCAGGGGTCGCCACTCGAGGATAACATGAAACTCTGTAGGCAGTGGGCTCCCTAGGATTTAGAGTATGCTGTGCTGGCAGTTAAGTCCACTAGGTGCCAGAGTTCCCAAAGTGTATATAAACCGATTTTCAAGAGACTTGCGAACTCTGTTGCTGGAGTTGCTAGATTTAATGGCTGTCAGCTCCATGTCGTGGATACCTTGGTGGTCCACCAGCCCGGCTTCTCTGAGGAATCGTTCTTCTTCACTGCCTCTTTTATCATATCGGGTGTCAAGAGAGAGATACAGTTTTTCTTCTTGCTCTTCTGGCTGCCTCAACCACAGACGCTGTCATCATCATCAAGTGCCTTGCCAGCTGGCATAGGCGTTCGTGCATCTCCACAGATCTTGGTATTTGGTGTTCTCGATCAATTCCACTGATAATGTTCCTCAGTGCCACTGTCTTGAGCCATCCACCAATAATTTCTCTTGGTCTGCCTCTGCCTCTTCTACCAGTGATCTTTCCAGTTGTCACAATATTTTCCATATCTCAGTAGACATATAGACACTGTACTGGTGTAAATCCAGCTTTTTTTTAGCCTACCTTATACTGTACATTAGGGCTGTTATACTGGCAGTCCATGGGCCAGATATGACCCATGGAGGCCTAGCAAGTGGGCCACGGATCATTGCCAATTGTATTGTATTAATGATCTGTATGAGCTGGGGCTTGGGCCTCTGGCCTGTGAAAGTACACATTTTCAGAATTGTGGCCCCTGAGTGAACTTAGTTGAATAGCCCTGCCCTGCGTCCTTGTTTGGTGTATACCTTTTGTGCTGTAGCATCCCTAGGCATTCTCTCTAAGTGGGCAACCCATTTTATTTGCTGTCACTGGGGGAATGTATATGTAGATAAATTTACTGTTTCTATCAGAATAAATAATTTTTCATAGAAAACTTTCATACATACTTTAGTTGTGGATTGAAGTGAAATTTCTTCTGATTTTATTTGTTTAAGGGAACTTTCATCATGTTCTTTTCAGGGTCGCTACCGAAGGGTGGACAGATTTCAGGAAGACATGTTTAAGGTGTTTGAGAGAGCCAGGAAGCTGAGCCGCACGGATTCTCAGGTGAGAGGATTATAGCTAATATATTAATTTCCATCAAAAGGCTGGCCCACATTTACAGCAGATCTGACTTGATTTGTAAATATTATAAGGGGCAACGTCGTGGTACTGACCACATCGTGATGCTGACCATATCTTGATGCTGACCACATCATGATGTTGACCACATCTTGATGCTGACCACACTGATGCTGACCACATCTTGATGCTGACCACATCTTGATGCTGACCACACTGATGCTGACCACACTGATGCTGACCACACTGATGCTGGCCACATCTTGATGCTGACCACACTGATGCTGACCACACTGATGCTGACCACACTGATGCTGACCACACTGATGCTGACCACACTGATGCTGACCACATCTTGATGCTGACCACATCTTGATGCTGACCACATCTTGATGCTGACCACATCGTGATGCTGACCACATCTTGATGCTGACCACATTGTGATGCTGACCATATCTTGATGCTGACCACATCTTGATGCTGACCACATCTTGATGCTGACCACATCTTGATGCTGACCACACTGATGCCGACCACATCTTGATGCTGACCACACTGATGCTGACCACATCTTGATGCTGACCACATCTTGATCCTGACCACATCTTGATGCTGACCACACTGATGCTGACCACATCTTGATGCTTACCACACTGATGCTGACCACATCTTGATGCCGACCACATCTTGATGCTGACCATATCTTGATGCTGACCAAACTGATGCCGACCACATCTTGATGCTGACCACACTGATGCTGGCCACATCTTGATGCTGACCACTGACCACATATTGATGCTGACCACATCTTGATGCTGACCACACCGTGATGCTGGCCACATCTTGATGCTGACCACATCGAGGGCCGATTGGTCTATAATATAAGTTTAGCCTTGTATACCTGATGCACCACTGGCATGTAAAGGGATATTTAAAAAAAAAAAATATAAAGGGAGCATGCATAAGCTTCCACGCTTGTCATAGGAGTTGACTAATTGGGGGTATCTTTTAAGTGCATCTGCCTGAGAGGCAAACAACCAAAAGTCTTATGAAACGCACCCTCAGTTTTGGAACAAGACTAAAATTCAGAGGCTGATGAACGCCCAGAACTTTCTGCTGGAGTTTACAACTGGTGAACGTGAAGAAGAAGAAGAAAAGGGAATTAAACATGGTTAAATGAGTTAAAGACATTGATGGAACAGCTGGACAATTGTAATCTGACGGATGCTCCAGAGAAACAAAAACATGTTCAGTTCCACAGGTCACACCTTCAGCCCGCAGTGAGGCAATAACTACAGCTCTGAGGTTGAGTGGTCTCGGGGCATGGCGTCCACCTCAACTGCTGGAGGTCCTGAGTTCAGGCCTCGGTGAAGACTGGATTTTTTCACGTGGACTTCTAGTAATTTCCCCTGGTCTCTGGATAGTAAGAGCGGACACCCTGTGTATTGTTGCGCATGTACAAAAAAATCCCTTGTCAGTTGGAAATTGAACATAGTAGCCTAATGGCGTTTCCCGGGCACAATTTTGAGTTGAAAATCTACCCAAATATTTCAGGATCCTCGCTGGTGCTACAGAGTTCATGCACTGCACTGAGATTCTTCTAACTCAGGCTTGAGTTAGAAGTAGAACGGAGAACTTATGGGTTACTACCCTTGTGCAATGATGTTCATCTGTTGTTTAAATCCAGATAACCACAGCAGAATCTCAAGTCTGTTACTTCCTGAAGAGGTTAAGTGTGCCTCTGTGTGGGAGAAAACATTTAAATTTGAAATATTTGCATTTAAAAGTCAGTTTTGCCTGATGAAAATGTTGAAAATAAAATGGGATGCTTTCAAAAGGAGTATAAATAAGAGAAATGTCTAGGCAACCATTAGTAACAATAGTTATAAGATACTGGCGCTATATTGGACACATCCTGAGAAGAAAGGAGCAGAGAATCACCCCAGGCACAGAAGTGGGAAATAAAGGGATTGAGAAAGCAGGGAGTCCAAAAGAAACCCTGAAATAAATGTTGATGAGAGATGCCAAAGGTGCTGGACTGGATTCCATTCATGATATGGAAGGGAACGATCAGAATGGAGGAATAGTCTAAAGGTTAAAGTCAAGAGGATCGACTTCATTGCACTGGGTTTTGATCCCATATGGCTCAGTCTCTCTCTACAGAATGGCTAGCCGCCTATTGAGAGCTTTGCACAGTGCACAAACTTCGCAGCTCCCACTACGATCCCTAGGAACCCTAATTAAAAATTGCACTTGTGAACTGAGCGATGCAGCCATGAATCAAACCCATGACCTTCAGAGCGTGAGGTAAATGGCTTGACCACTTCACCACAGAGACCTGCAAGCCTTCTGTGACATATAATGACAGGACAGGAAGTGATGATGATGATGTGGAGAGAGAAAGAGTTAAAGCCATGTGAGCTGAATGACTGTTGACACCAAAGCTATAGTGTATTCTGATTCCTCTCCAGCTGTACGAAGATGCTGTAGAAATGCAGAACTTCTTCATCAAAACCAGAGATGAGCTGTGCAAGAACGGGGAGCTGTTGCTGACCCCTGCCCTCAGTTACACGGAGCGCCACCTGGCACAGGCTCTAGAAATGGAGCAGAAGGAAAAGCTGGAACAAGAAAAACAAGAACTGGAGAAACAAGACGAAGAAGAAAAAAAGAAAGAGAAGGCATCTGGGGATAAATCTGTAAGTTGGTTGTTTCAAATGTAATTATAATGTGCATATGAAATAAAAATGCATGCTTGGTAAGAAGGCAAAGTAGAATTGTAAAAGTATGACACTTTTTCTTACTTAGAAGTCACCCGAATGGATAAAAGGGTGTGAGTATTTGTTAATATTCCTTGTGTGAGTTCCGGGGCCCTATTTTGGTCTGTAAAGGAATACTACTCTCCTAACAAGCATATTGTAAAATGTGACTGATCAGGGGCGACTCCTTCAAAGTTGTGGTAGTTATGCCTGAGGGGCGAGGAAGCAGTCTACATACAAATAATCCAGATCTGTAAATTAGATGTGCACACACAACTCAAGCTCTGGAATAAGACCAAAGCCCAGAAGTGGACGAACAACCAGGACTTTTTGCCAGAATTTACAACCAGTAAAGCTCAGAAGAAGAAGAAGACAATTTGTTAGTATTTTAGTCTTATAGATTTAATCTTGAGGTAGTTTAATATTTAAGAGGGATTTTTAAGAAAAAACAGTGTATTTTTATGTTTTAGAAAATTGAAACTAAATAGTCATATATGATAAGTTTGAAGCGTGTAAAAAGTAATTAAGTTATTGCTAACGTAGTTAACTAAAAACACAAATTAATGACGACATACTTAGGTATTTTTGAGTGATAACCTAAATGTTTGAGAACCACAAATATGTAATACCAGCCAGTGTAATGGCATCAGGAATTTAATCAGGAAGGGCCCTCTGTGGATAAGAGAGACATCACAATGCTTTAGGAGAGAAAAAACGCTGTGAGGCTTTCAGTTTCATGGAAAAGGATTTTTCCCTAAATACCATGCATACCCTGGGTGTACCAGTTAGAGCGGTGAGACAGGAAAAACATGCGGGAGCAAACCATCTTTACATCAACCAGAACAGAATGGCAGTTGTTAGCCCAAAAACACTTGGAAGCATAGGAAGAGATTGGAGCAGTTGTGGTCATGTCCGATATGCGATGAAGATGATCTCAAAAATGAACAGTGGCATCTTCTGCAGTCTTCTTCTTCTTATGATCACTTTATGATGTACACAGTTAGACAAGTTCTTGAGGTAAACTTGACTTGTTTTTAGGAGTTCCTTTTTAGTTCCATACAGCTTTGAATACAGTGCTGACTCATTGCGCCAGTATTCCAGTCTTAGTGGGCTGTACAAGGCACATTCTTGCAGGACATGTTCTGTAGTCTGCACCGACAGCCCACATGGGCAGATTGTTTGCAGTGATATGTTGGGATCAGAAGTATCTGTAGTTTTCAGGGATGCAGATATGCTGGACCCCTCAACCTGGTACACCAGGCATAGAGCTCCCACTGCTCAACATTTATCTACACTTCTCCGCGGACATCCTAGAAGCTGGTTTCCTACGGTAGCCTATCCAACGATGTTCCTTTTGAAATAGGAGTACATTTGCCTGAGAGGGAAGGAACCAAGAGTCTGTACACAGATAAACCAGATCTGTAAAATAGATGTGCATGCAAAAACTCAAGTCCCAGAACAAGACTGAAGTCCTGAAGTAAATGACTAACCAGGACTTTCCGCCAAAGTTTACAGCCGGTGAACACAGACATTTGTGTTACCTTTCTGTGGAATTAGTAACCATGGAAGAAAGATGTCTGAGAAGGCCTGCGGGAGTGACCAGAAGAAATCAAATCAGAAATCAGGTCATAAGAGAGAAAGTTGGCACAGAACCTATTCTGAATTACATACAAAGACAAAAGAGACAAACAATTAAATGGTTTGCCCACTTAGAGTACAAGTCAGTTTTACACTCTGTACATGAAATTCCAGGACAGATGCCACCACCCAGAAAAACATCAGGGCAGTCAGAATGTTGCAAGAAACCTACGACCACACATGCTCGCTTCAAAGCTCCAGAAGTCCTGATGAAACTGGTAGACGAAGAAACCAAACAGTCCAACCCAATCACCTTTATGAACTCATTGGTAAACACCACAGATTCCTACTCTGAAGAATGGATACAGGTTTATACTGATGGATCTGCATTCAAAGCAAGTTACAGAGTCTGCATAGGTTATCCTGATGGATCTATTCAAGATATTTTTTATGCATGCTAGGAATTCTGTTCAAATTCCGAAGACAAAATTATTGCACTGAAAACAGTGATTAACCACCTAAAGACTAATGGATGTATATCCTTCAAAGGCCCGAAATATCATCACCGATTCAGTGTCCACTCTACAAGCTCTGGAGGGTAGTGAACATTGAAGAACTGACATAGCCAAGATAATTCTGGATGCTGATCAGCTCATTACCTCATACAACATCAGAATAGTGATTCATTGGATTCCAGGCCACACTGGCCCACCAAGTAATGATAGAGCTGACAGACAAAGAAAGGATCAACCCAAGAACAACCACCCACAACGGTAACCCTACAGACAGCAAAAGCACACTTATAAGAGCTATAAAAGAAGAGACTTGACTGAACAGATGGGCGTCAGCATCAACCATCTAACAAGGAGAGACCAGGCCACCATCTTCAGACTCAGGACACAACATATTCCACTCAGTGGACATCTTAACAGAATAGCCACAACACTCCCCAGAGTGCCAGCTATGTAACTACCCCTACAAAACTGTTGGTCATCATATCTTTGAGTGTCCAGAACTCACCGAGACTAGAAGAACGCTACTCTCTCCGAGACCAGTCAGATGAAACACCTTGTACAAAGGAAAAAAACAGCTTTCTAAAAACATGTCAGTTCCACTACATGGCAATGGGGCAAATGGCGAAAGCTCATGCGCCGAGGGATCGATAACAACAACAAGCCAATTTGCCTTGTAGGGCCATACCATACAAGGCATACACTAAAAGAGAAAAAGGACATAGAGCACAAGGTGGACCAAGAATAATATAGAAAGATAACATCAGAGAAACTCTGCAATAGATCAATGTGTGTATGGTCAAGGTGGCCAGAGGAGCAAGAAACAGAACCTTTTATCATCATAAAAGAAGACCCTTTCCGAAGCTGTATATCTTCTTCTTCTTGTGTTTGCTTTCTGATTTTCACCAACAGACCTGTTCTTGTAATAAACTTGACTGTTTTTTAGGAGTTTCCTTTTGTTCTATGTTATATTCTTAAAGGGTTTTCTTCTTCTTGTGGGGTTGAGCGTTCTGTGGTCATCTGTAGCCAGATTCTGTTCACTTTAGTTAGATGTCAGTCATGATATTTACTTCTTCTCTGTCACAGTCTGCTGACCAGGAAGCTGCTAACACAGACGAGGAATTTGAATACAAGGGGCAGGTTTATGCCAAGGGGGATTTTGTTTATATACACTCAAGGTAACAAGATTTTTAGTCATTTGGTTTCTCTTAATTGTTTCCCTCTCCAAGACTTGGAGTCCTACATCTGTTTGGGCAGAAATGTAGATAAAGATGGAGGAACTGATAGAGATATTAAAATACAAATAGAAAAGACAAGAGGAGCCGTCATAGCACTAGGAAATTTGTGGAGGTCAAAAGAAATTTAAACTATTACTAAACTAAAAAAAATGTTTATGAATGTCAAACCAATACTGTAGTAAGGAACAGAAATATAGAGAACAGTTAAGGCAGTTAATAATGAACTACAAACATTCATTAACCCTTTCGCTGCTATGGACGTCTTTTCCCGATTTCCCGTACGCTGCTATGCCCGTCTTTGGACGTTATTTTTTTTCTTGACCCCCAGTGCTATGGACGTCCCAAGCCGTTTTTTGGACTTTTCCTACAGATTTCTGTTACCTCCTATTTTATTGGCTGAAGAGCAATATACATTAGCTATATTTAGATTAAACTGACCCATTTACATATGATTAAAAGCACTGGCACTTGCTTTTAGGTGTGTTTAAGGTGTGTTTACTGCATTCTGCATTATCCCGTTGCTTTGTTTACCGTGACAGCGTGGTTGGTGATCTGTGTATTTTGTGCCCTGATATATATTTGTGCTTTTGGATTATTCTACACTTAGTACAAAATGGCAAGAAAACTTGTTAAAGTTGATGAAGAATTGATGAAGTTTCTGTCAAGAAGTGATAGCGAAGATGACTTTGAAATATGTACTTCTGACAGTGAACAAGAAGATTTGACTAGGCCATCAGTATCGACTGCTGAAACCGGCGTGTCCAAAAAAAGCTGTTTGCCTGTCCGACGTCCTCATCGTCGGAATCAGAGAGAAGCGACAATGAAGCGCCATCAAAACAGCAATAAAATAAGTTGTCTTGATGAACCGATGATTTGATACCAGTAGTGCATAATTTTGATGACTCCAGCTCTATCTGTATTTCTGCTATTGTAAATTCAAACAGTTCAGTCACTAAAAATTCTTGTCTTTCCCGATGGACAGACACAGATTCGGACGAACTTTTTTTTTTTTTTTTGCTGTCTGTCTGCTAATGCTTAGAAAAAAGAAACTCAAAATAGAGTACTTGAGCAAAGACTGTTTGCTAAAAACTGCCGTAAAATAATGTTGAGGGTCATATTTTTACTATTGTTGAGAATCTCAAACATTTCTCAGACAACAGTGCTCATGCAGGTGGCGATAGACTACAAACTTAGACACATTATTGATAGTCTGCGCACATCATTCATTATCATCATTCACACAGTACAATGCGTCAAGCGGTAGTATAGTGTAGTTGGTATCACGTTCGCCTTAGAATCGGAGGGTCGTGTGTTCAACCCCCAAAGTTGTGTGTTTTTTTATTTTTGTTATTATTGTTGTAAATTTTCCTTTCAGTTCCTGCTACTTTTCAGCAACGGACGACTCAAGTATTATTATTATTTTTTAAATTATTTTGGTATGTAATAACATGGTGACTACAAATAACTATGATTAAAGTGGCAGCCGTGGTAGGTTCGTCAATCAAATTTTGGGATACGGACTGGGAACAGTTCTTCCCACTAATAGAATCACTAATGTAGAGCTGTGGGAGAGAACTAAACAAGTTTCAGTAGACCAAGTGGTGAAGAAAAGATGGCGTTGGATAGGACACATGTTGAGAAAACCTTAAAATATTATAACTAGAATGGCTTTGCACTGGAACCCACAGGAGCATAGAAGTAAAAGAAGACAATTAAAAATAAAACGCGTACATGGAGAGCAAAGATAAAAAGATGGGGAGAGTTGCATGCGATAGATATGGATAAAACGACTTGGCATGAGTTGGTTGAGGGCCTATGCTCCTTTGGAGGTTAGAAAGGCAGAAGAAGAACAAGATTTCTCTTCTGTTTCCTGCTTACCAGTAATTAGACACAGAATGAGCTAACATACAAAATATTTCCATGGGATTACAAATTGAGCACGCAGTTCTGTCTTACGTTCGGCCCATCCAAGCACTCATATTTCAGACCCCAATTGTATTTTATGTATCTCGCAAGTAATGTTCATATAGACAGTAAACATAATATGAATTTTAAGTAAAAAACACAACAGTAAGTATGGTAAATTGCATACATTCATATATGAGTGTGTATAAATATATATATATATATATATATATATATATATATATATATATATATATATATATATATATATATATATATATAGAGAGAGAGAGAGAGAGAGAGAGAGAGAGAGAGAGAGAGAGAGAGAGAGAGAGAGACGTGCGTTCTCGCCTGCACACGCACACACACACATGCTTTCTATACATACATACATACATTCCTATACACAAAACATACAGACTAACTAGGCAAATTCCATAAAACTGGTTGGGGAGGGGGTTTTGCATTAAGTTGGAAGAACCCGACATGGATTTTTACTACTTTTTCTTTTTTTATCTTGTGCTTCTTTCACATTACTTCCTAATATTATGCAAATACTTCACCTATACTCTTTTGACATTACGTAATAATTTTTTCAAAATTTCGTTGACATTACACACGTAGTTTAAAAAAAAATTTAATTTAGTTTACATGAGTGCTTAACTTTTGTTTCCATGCCCTTACATAAGTGCTTAACTTTTTTCTTTCTTGACATTACTTTAGAATTTAACCATTACTTTCTTGACATTATATCTAAACAATGAGTAAAATTGTGCTTGCAGGGACACCCCAGAGCCCCACATTATGGTCATTGAAAGCTTTGGGGTAGACGCAGCTGGTCAGAAGGTCATTAAAGGGAACTGGTTTTATCGACCAGAAGAAACGTACCACCTGGCGACTCGCAAGTTTCTGGAAAAGGTGGGCAAGAGTTTGTAGTTAGTATTTTTTATTTTTGGTTGTTTCAGATTATTAACCCTTTTGCTGCTGTGGAGGTGTTTAGTCATTTGCCCACAGACTGCTACGAGTGCATTTAGTGCAGCAGTTCTCAACCTGTGACCTTTGGGTCTAACGACCCTTTGTCACAGAAGTCGCCTAAGACCATCGAACAGCACATAGTCACTGAAGCTATGAAGTAGCAACGGAAATCATTTTATGGTTGGGGGTGGCCACAGCGTGAGGAACTCTATCAAAGGGTCGTAGAATTAAAAAGATTGAGAACCATTGCTTTAGTGTGTCTGACTTAAAAGTGCTCGGGCCAACCACCCAACTCCCTAGGGTTTATATTTTTCTGTTTAAAAAAAAAATCTATGCATGCTAACACATCTTGCTTTTTGAGGATAAAAAAGTATTCAGCACAGGTAGAATGGTCAACGTTGACCCCTTGTATCATAAGTGGTACCGTAACACTGTGTTGGGGTATATAGCAGCGACAGAGATGAGTTAAGCCTTTCACTGATCTCATGTGGCTTATGTCCTTTAAAGTCAGAGTGCCTCTGCCTGACAAGAGGTAAACAACCAACAACTATATACAAATAAGCCAGATCTGGAAACGAAAAAAAAAAAAAAAAAACCTATGTGCACAAAAAAAACAAGTTCTTGATTAAGATTAAAGTCTACTGATGGATGACCAGACAGAACTTGTTGCTGGAGTGTACAGCTGATGAATGCAAAGAAGAAGAAATAATATTTTCTCATGAATTTTTAAATACTAATAATGGTGGCATCATTGAGATTCATTGCTGCAGATATCACCTGCCTCCATTCATCTCTTGGGTAGCTTCTTTTTCCAGTTGATGAAGCCAGGTGTTTGTAGGTCTGTCTGGGTGATATTTCTCTAGGTGGTTGAGACATTGTGATGTGGTTTATGGCTACTACAGCCAGGCTAGGATATCTACACATTTTGGCCAAACACACCCAGTTTCAACAAATGCCTAATTAGTTACTCTTTGCAAAGTGCTTGTTCTTTTCTTTCCTGCTCAAAAATTGGACCCAGAACCTACACAAGGAGACTTTAGCACTGTTTGCAAGCATCTGTTCAATTGAGATTATTAATGTGTTTATCTTTTTCCTATAGGATTTTTGATTGTAACTTTGCTCATATAATTTGTTTTTATTCTGCTTCTTCTTTTGTTGTCTCACTGATACCAGGTTGTAGCCCAGTGTCGTTTCTGCTTAACCATTTATCCATTTCTTTCTTGGTCTTCCTCTTATCTTCCTCTCAGATATTCTGCTGTAAAAAAAGTCTCATGCAGTTTGGTCTGGCTGCATTCTCACTAGATGGCTAAACCATTTCATTCCTTGTCAATATAATCCGAACATGGTCTTTTTTCCAACTTTCTCTATAATGCTGGTATTCGTAACCATGTCTCTTCTTTTATATTTTGTTTTTATTACTGTTTATAATGCACCATTAATTTTTGTTTCCATCAACAGGAGGTGTTTCGAAGTGATACAAGTTATGGGACACCTTTGTCTGAGATTGTGGGCAGGTGCTGCGTAATGTGTGTCAATGACTACTTCAAGAGTAAACCAGAGGTAAATGTCTGTACCGGTATCTGTGGTGGCACAACTCAACCATCTTGGGGGGGGGGGGGGGTAGTTTAGAAGGAATTAACATAAAATGAATGACGCAGAAAGAGACAGTCTACATTCTTTAGTCATGTGATGAGGAGAAAACTGAAGTACATTGTGACAGTAGGAAAGTTGGAGATAAAAAGAGGCAGCAAAAGACAGAGAGAAAAGATGCTGGATAGTTTTGACGTCTCCCTATGTGGGTTCTTGGGCCCCATTATGGGGAAAACAAGAATAGACCCACTGCCTCCCCAACAAGCATGTCGTAAAAATTGACTAAATAAGGGTTTCCTTTAAAGTTGGAGTGCATCTGCCTAAGAAGCAAGAAGTAACAGATCGGTAAAACAAATGTGGACGCAGCACTGAGTTCTGGACCAAGTCTGAAGTTCTGAGGTGGATGAACAACCAAAACTTTCCTCCAAAGTTTACAGCTGGTGAAAAGCGAAGAAGAAGAAGAGTTTGACATCATGGCATTGAGGATCATCTGTGTCAGAGTTGATTGAAAGTACACGAGACAGAAAGTTGTGCATATACATGACTACCAACACCACATGGCTTGACTTGAAAAAAAAAAAAAGAATAATGCTGTGGATTGGAAAGAACAAATGTGGAGTGCATGTTACTGGGTTGAAGGGGTGGGGGGGGGGGGGGGTAGACCAGCGCGAAGATAGACACATGATATAGGAGACAGCTTGGGCAGGAAAGTGCACAGAGCATATAGCTGGTGAGGGACTGAGTTTCTTTCAGGTAGGCTGTGACGGAAGTGACGCTTTGTTAAGGATCTGCTGCATGATGATGATGGTGACATGGATGACCTATTTAAACTGCCAGTTACTGCATGTATTTATCACTTTTGCTGTGTCTGCAGGGGGATCATTGAGCCTGAGGATTTAGGACTGCTAGTGGTGTTGCCCTCTACAACACAACCTTCTTCCTGACGCTGTGCTTTCAGTGTGAAACATCGACACTGTCTTCAGAAGACAGAAGGAAAATAGTCATGACAAGGTGTAACAAGGAAAGATCAACTTAGGAACGATGATATCAGGAGGAGAGTCAGCACAGAGACAATACTGAACTTTATCCGTAGACAACAACAAATCGGATGGTTGGGCCATGTAACAAGATTGGCATCAGTGTAACAAGACTGGCATCAGACAGGGCACCACAGAAAGCAGTGTTATACAGATACAATGGTAACACAGCAAGAGGTCAACCATGCAGAAATTGACCGCAGACAATGATAAGTACTTTATACAAAGCGAACAGAAGGGCCCATTCCAGAGATCTCTTCCTGCCCTGACGCCGTAAGACATTTCAGGAGTGGAGAACATTTTATTTATATAAATATATATATAATGGTTTTATTTTGTATTTTCAGGGCATTCCAGACAAAGATGTCTATGTATGTGAGTCAAGATACAGCGTGCGACACAGGATGCTTCAAGAAAATCAAGGTAGGGCAATGGGTGCTTAAGTAAGCTGACTTGGCCTTCTTGGCTAGACTTTCTCTTTCACCTGTTTGTATCAGGAAAAGAAACCATGATAAACTCGAGTTCTTATGTGGACAAGACTCAGATGATAATAAACATTTGTCTTGAAATAATATATTTTTCTGGGCAAGAAAATAAATTCAGGGTGGAAGGACACAATTGCTTTCTTTTTATGTACGCTTTTTGATTTACACCGACAGATAAGTTCTTGTGATAAACTTGACTGTTTTTTAGAAATTCCTTTTTAGTTCCATTCAATTTTGAGAGACGTGTTGACTAAGTGGGCCTTTTTCAATCAATTATATTTATATAGCAGGGGGTTGCGTAATACTGTAGGTTTTTTTGTATCCGTCTTCTGGCCCAGTATTTCCGACTTCAGGATCTCTTGAGAGGGAGAGTGGGCTCATCCCTTCGCCGTTACCATGTTTGTTGTCCCCTCCAGTTTGTCTGTTGGTAGTTGAGACTCCAACCTTCAACTGGATTGCTGGGAAGAACAAGGCCCACCATTTGAAGGTGAGGTAGGCTTGAGCAAGAGAGGCTAATAGACATTAGGAGTCTTGTATTGCGCATCATTGCTCCATTCTGACCTCTGCAGTTGCCTCATCTTCAGGTTTAGTTTGAGTTAAGAGTCAGTTTCATGGTACGTAGACAATTATGTGGGTGCTCAAGTCCTTGTCCTCAGCGATTACACAAAGAACATCTCAGCACTGCACAGGTAGCAAAAGGATTCCACACGTGTGTTCATCAGAATCACGTGAATCACAGTATTCTTATTTGTGGCTAGTTTGTATCATTGTGAAATTTAGCCAGGAATTTCTCATTCGGCTAACATTTTTAAAATTTATCATTTATGCATTTGAACATACGCTTGGGGCAGCTAGTGCGTGACCCCCCTCCCCTTAAAAAAAAAAAAATTGCATTAGGCAATCCCAGTCAGCACAAAGAAACATCTCATGCAAAAGCATATTTAATTCATACTCTTTGCTGCCAGTGCTAGACATAGTCACTTACAATAAACTATAAAAGAAAGTTAGTAACCACGGAAATAAGATATCTGAGAAGAGCTGATGGAGTGATCTGATGCCTTGTGGCATCATACCAGAAAGATGTATAGCACAAGGTAGACCAAGAACAAGATGGAAATATAACACAGAGAAACTCTACAACAGCACCATGTGTCTGTGGTCGATTTGGCCAGAAGAGCAAAAAAAGCAAATCCTCTTCAACACATGAAGCAGTAAAAGAGAGCAGTGAATGAAAGAGGAGAAGAACATATGTGATGTGCACATGAGCACCTTGCCTGTTTCGCCCTTCTCTGAAAAACCTTGGTCTCCAATACACTGTCTGAGTTAGTCGTAATCTTTATTGTTGGATTTATTCAAGAACCAAACGTCTTCTCATTTTTATTTATTCAAGAGCTAATAATCTGTACATGTTTGTTCATGCAGTGACTAATAATGTGATTTCTCTGGTATTCTAGGTTTGGCAAACACAGCAAAGCAAAAACCTGAAGTTTGTTGCACGAGAAATCCCCCTGGCTCCCATCAGGGTGGCCTCCGTGTTTGCAGACAAGTCCAGCAGTGACAGTGCTCTAGATGATAGTGATACTGTCATCGATAAAAAGAGAGAGGTATTTTTTGCATTCACCCTCATCATAATCTTATGAGCCTAGTTGTGTGCAATCTGCCGTGGGGTAATCACAGAAGGAATCTTCTGATCATCAGAGAAGTTTCCAGAGTGAATTTTTACGAAGATCCCTCGTGATCGTTGCTGGGGCTGTGAGTTTTTGCTCTGCTCAGCGCTCTTGGCAGGCGGCTAGCCCTTCTGCTGAGAGAGAATGAACTATAATGGGATAAAACCAGGTGCAATGATGTTGATCCTCTCGACTTTAACTTCAGCTTTAATCATTGACAGTAACAGCTCAGAGAAGGCATCATATACCTGGAGTTTCGTGAGCCAGTTGATTTTCTTCTTCACATTCACCAGCTGTGAACTCCATAGGAAAGTTCTGGTTGTGTGCCCACTTCTGCACTTATGTCAATTTTCCAAAGCTTGAGTTTTGCATGCGGATCTGCTTTACCGATTTTACTTTTATGTATGCAGACTGTTGGTTTTTCACCTATCAGGAAGATGCACTCTAATTTAAAAAGATGCACTCCAACTTAAAAAGAAACACCCCTAATTAGTTGACCTGAGGCTGGTTGTCCATTCACACACACACACATGCACTCACACAGACACAGAGTGGGGACCCAAAACCCACGCAGGGGCGATCCAGTTAAATTTAATAGCACTTTGAGACTTGGTCAGAAGAGAGTCAATATTTTGTAAGTCTCTGTCGCAGTCTCCACGTGGAGGTCACAGTTTTGCTATGTCGCTGAATTCTTAACAAATCTGTCATAACAGCAGCCGGATAAGTTTTTCAGAACATAACCTTGGGATTTTGTTAATTAAGAAAAAATCGATAAGAATATCAAGATGGATAACAACGCTACTTGTGCATGTATATTTCTCTCTGTTGCCTTGTTTGTGCCTATCAGCGTCAGGGAGACCTTTCTATACAAAGCTTTCAGTATAATGTGCTATTTGTTGGCTATGAAAAGAAAGGTCATAAAAGTAACCTGAGAAGTCGTGACATTTATTTTAAAAGGCCATGAGAGTGACAAAGGTGGTCATGAAAGTGATTAAAAAAAAAAAAAAAAGGGATGATTTGCAGTTCACAAATATAACAACGCTATCATACAGAATCTAACAGAAATTTGCTGTTCTTATCCCTAGTGTGTACCTGCAGAGGCTGAGAATGAAGATGGGAATGCATATTTTGATCAGTATGTGTGCGATATTGGCTGCTTCAAACTTGGTATGTCTTACTGAAATATGTATTTGTAGTTTAAATCAGAATGTGTGTGATTTCAAATATACCAAACTACGTGTTTATATGTAGGTTTATTTTGGAGGAGAGAGGGTGGGAGTGAGGACTAATGCTCAATAATAGGTGGATTCAGTAGAGGGAGAGTTGTCAGTAATGGGTGGATTAGATAGAAGAGAACTAGTCCTCAGTAATGGGTGGATTAGACAGAGGAGAATTAGTTCTCAGTAATGGGTGGATAAGATAGTGCAGAATTCGTTCTCAGTAATGGGTGGATTAGACAGAGGAGAATTAGTTCTCAGTAATGGGTGGATAAGATAGAGGAGAATTAGTTCTCAGTAATGGGTGGATTAGATAGAGGAGAATTAGTTCTCAGTAATGGGTGGATTAGACAGAGGAGAATTAGTTCTCAGTAATGGGTGGATTAGATAGAGGAGAATTAGTTCCCAGTAGTGGGTAGATTAGATAGAAGAGAATTAGTTCTTAGTAGTGGGTGGATAAGATAGAGGAGAATTAGTTCTTAGTAGTGGGTGGATAAGATAGAGGAGAATTAGTTCTCAGTAATGGGTGGATTAGACAGAGAAAAATTGTTTCCAAGTAATCATTAGATTCAGTAGAGGAGAATTAAAACTCTTTAGGGCTTGGATTAGATGGTGGAGAATTAGTTCTCAGTAACATTTAGAGTAACTAGAGAAGAGCTCTAGTAGCATTTGAATCAGTCATCATCATTATCAGTTTCCACTTCTGGTTTTTTAAGTGTTGTGGGGAGAAACAGTTTGGAATCCATTGCTTGATGGGCAGCAGTGGCTAGTGTTGTTCTATGTTGATGTAGAAGCTCTTTAATGTCATCAGTCCATTTTCTCATAGGGCTACCTCTTGCTTTCACTGTTCAATTCTCAGTAAATTTTGTGATAGGTGAAAAACATTTCATCATCAGCAGCAGTTGAAATAAAAGGAGAGTTAATTATCAGTAACATTTGGATTAGAGGGAGAGGAGTTAATTCTCATTAATATTTGTATCAAATTGCAGAGGGTTAATTCTCTGTAACTTTTCAGTTTTTTTGGAGAAGATTTCTTACTAACAGTTGTGTTAGATTGTACTTACTTTAAAATATGGTGATGTGCAGGCGGTCCTTTGAAGTATTCTTTGCTTCTGGCTGTGTTTTGCTAATGCAATTTCCACATATGGACTGAAGTTCACATTTTGTTGGCTAAGCTGCTATATGGTGCAACACTGTGAGCTGTGTATTTAATGTGGAATGCCTTTAGTCTGTGCTTGCACGTTGTGGTGTTTATAACATTCAAAATTGCTTGTGACCAGTTTGTGTTTGGTCTCTCCAAGTGCCTTATTAATTAATATTGCATGTGCAAGGCCCGCTTAATATGACTGACTACTTCCATCGGTGACAAATTTCAATTCTGGCAATGACTGTTGGTGTTGGCACCTTTATCAACTGCCATATGCATTTACTGCAGCTACATATGTTAATGGATTTTGCTGGAACAGATTGTTAGTCTTTTAGTTTTCAAATGAGACAGTGGGCGTGCCTTTTGTGTGATTTTTACTGACCTCAAAATGGAGGGATTATGTGAAGTATATTCAGTGAAGTTGGTACCTCGACTACAACCAACTACTTCTACACTCCTGCTATTCATGATGACCTTCTCCTTGTGATATTTCTCCAGGTGATGGGGTGTATATAAACAATCCTGGTGGACAGAACATCATTGCAAGAATTGACAAGATTTGGAAAGACACCATGTAAGTGTGATACATCTGACTGCCTTGTACTGTAGGACTTGGTGAGGGTGAAGTAAAGTAAAGGGCCCTTTTCCAAGCCTTTAGGCATATAGGGGTCTAGACCTATATTTTATAGTCCAATCAGCACAAGATGGGTGATGTGGTCAGCATCAAGCCGGCTGCATTCACTTCCCAGGACTACACCCGGTACCCACTCAAGGCTAGAGCGACCTGGGAGCCGAACCCACGAACTTCTGATCCTTGGCAAGCGTCTAGCTACTCCGTCGTGCTGACTCCCACTTGGTGAGGGTGAAGCTGAGAATGTGAGCCTGCATGATTAATACAGTCACCATGAACTGTACAGGTTAGGATTGTTATTTTGCCCCCAACAACACAAATCTTCACCTCTTACCTTTAAACTTTCATTGAAAATGAAAGGAGCATCATTTTCATCATCATCATGCTTACTTTCAGTAGAATTTCATCATGAATATGAAGAAGAAAACTGTAGTTTGTTTATTTATTATGTAACATCCCCTGCTTCTTCCATTTAACTATCTTTCCCCCCCCACTTTTCCTCCGATCCCCCCGCCCTTTTTATTTTAGTTATACGTTGGATCATCTTCACAGTACACTGAACCTGTCTGTAGGTGATCAGGTTTCCCCTTCAACAAATACATTAGCGTCCTGCAGTTAACAGTGCCAGTCCTATGCTGGTTTAATTAATAAGACTTCTTTTGTGTCCAGTATGCCTCTCTTATCTGGCTGTGTCAGTTGTTACTCCCAGTTCTCGCATTCTTGTTAGCGGATATGGATACACTGCTCCCAAAATCCAGCAATCGTCCATTGGTGCAATCCATGAGACAGCCGTGTGTTAGTTCTTTCATTGCCAAAAGCCACATGACCTGGGACAGAGAGGAATGTAATTCCACACACAGTTTCATAATGACTCAATCTGCTCTCTATATATAGAGCCTGTTTTCACCCTCCGGATCAGGCTCATTAAATCACTGAACACAAAAATGGGGGAAAAGCCCTGTGATTCCAGCCACATGAATACTTGTGTTGCCGCCATCCCCTCCATTGTTTTAATGATTTCTCTGATATTCCCATATACCTTTTAAATGTGTGGCGCTACATTTCTCAATCATCATCAAGTGCTTTGCTAGCTGGCATAGGCGTTTGTATGTCTCCATAGGTCTTGGTCTTTGGTATTCTGGATCAGTTCCACTGGTTATATTCTTCTATGCCACTGTCTTAAGCCATCCACCATCATTTCTCTTGGTCTGCCTCTGCTTCTTCTACCAGTGATCTTTCCAGTCATCAGGATATTTTCCAGTGCTCCTTTTTCTCATCACATCACCAAAGAAAAAGAACTGTTTGTCTCCTTCTCATCGTTGTAAATAATGTTCTACTTTCATTAGCCTTTTACAGGCAGTCAATGTTGGTTTGTCTGGCAATTTCTTGATACAATTTATATATTCAGGATAGATTGTGGGTATTAATTCACTTCTCTATGGCTTGTTCTTTTTTCAAGGGGTGAGGCATTTTTCCACTACGCTTGCTTCCTGCGGCCATCAGAAGTGGAGCACGCCCCAACACGTTTGTTTTTCAAGAAAGAGGTTTTTCAGGCAGCACTGGAGGATTGTGCCCTCATCAAAAACATCGTGGGCAGATGTGCCATTCTCCACATGAAGGACTACTGCTCAAGTAAAGTCTTTTATTTTTCTGTATTAAATTTTATATTTAAAAGAGAAATTATAATAATAATATTATTCTTATGCGTTATTTTAAAGAGAAGTTATAATAATATTATTATTCTTTATGTGTTATTTTAAAGAGAAGTTATAATAATATTATTATTCTTTATATTTTAAAGAGAAGTTATGATAATATAGGGGGGGGGGGGATATTTCATTGAGAATGTATTTTTAAATATTGTTTCAAGGTCATTTATATTTATACAGATTTTATGTTTCATATTTGAAGGTTATTAATATTCTATAGAGAATTTATGTTTTATTTTCCTTTTGATGTTGTGTATATTTCTTAGAAAAATTAGTTAAAAGTTGAAATTATTTTTCTCTGATTATGGTTATAATTAAGAATTGCATTACTGCAGTCAGGACAAAACCATAAGTGACTCTTCCAGCAGAAGTTGATGATGCAGATGCTGATGGTTCCTTTTGCCAGTTGGTTAGCTGCCCATGGAACACCTGCTGTCGTCACCATTATAAGTTCGCTACTTGATTAGCACACCCCGGCTGCCATAACTGAGATCTCTCTAGAGATGTACCACCATGCATCCTACCGTATCTCCTCTGTCCATCTTCATTGCCACAAATAAAGGTGTTTTTGAAACTTGTATATCAGGGCTGTCACTTTCTCACACACCTACATGCCCTGGACAGTAGATCCACACACAAGGTGATGAACGTTAGAAGTATCTACACAGTAAAAGTAAAACGTAAAGGACCTTTTTTTTTTTTAAAATGCCAGTTGCATATCGAGCATAAGATACTAGACAGATATTTTTTATTGTCCGACTGGCACTCTGTGGGTGGTGTTGTTACTGGTTTAGATAATATTTGTTATTGTCAGATTGGCACTCTGTGGGTGATGTGGTTACTGGTTTAGATAATATTTGTTATTGTCCGACTGGCACTCTGTGGGTGATGTGGTTACTGGTTTAGATAATATTTGTTATTGTCAGATTGGCACTCTGTGGGTGATGAGGTTACTGGTTTAGATAAGATAATATTTGTTATTGTCAGATTGGCACTCTGTGGGTGATGTGGTTACTGGTTTAGATAATATTTGTTATTGTCAGATTGGCACTCTGTGGGTTATGTGGTTACTGGTTTAGATAAGATAATATTTGTTATTGTCAGATTGGCACTCTGTGGGTGATGTGGTTACTGGTTTAGATAATATTTGTTATTGTCAGATTGGCACTCTGTGGGTGATGTGGTTACTGGTTTAAATAATATTTGTTATTGTCAGATTGGCACTCTGTGGGTGATGAGGTTACTGGTTTAGATAAGATAATATTTGTTATTGTCAGATTGGCACTCTGTGGGTGATGTGGTTACTGGTTTAGATAATATTTGTTATTGTCAGATTGGCATGTGGTTACTGGTTCTGTGGGTGATGTGGTTACTGGTTTAGATAAGATAATATTTGTTATTGTCAGATTGGCACTCTGTGGGTGATGTGGTTACTGGTTTAGATAATATTTGTTATTGTCAGATTAGCACTCTGTGGGTGATGTGGTTACTGGTTTAGATAATATTTGTTATTGTCAGATTGGCACTCTGTGGGTGATGTGGTTACTGGTTTAGATAATATTTGTTATTGTCAGATTAGCACTCTGTGGGTGATGAGGTTACTGGTTTAGATAATATTTGTTATTGTCCGACTGGCACTCTGTGGGTGATGTGGTTACTGGTTTAGATAATATTTGTTATTGTCCGACTGGCACTCTGTGGGTGATGTGGTTACTGGTTTAGATAATATTTGTTATTGTCCGACTGGCACTCTGTGGGTGATGTGGTTACTGGTTTAGATAATATTTGTTATTGTCCGACTGGCACTCTATGGGTGATGTGGTTACTGATTTAGATAATATTTGTTATTGTCAGATTGGCACTCTGTGGGTGATGAGGTTACTGGTTTAGATAATATTTGTTATTGTCAGATTAGCACTCTGTGGGTGATGTGGTTACTGGTTTAGATAATATTTGTTATTGTCCGACTGGCACTCTGTGGGTGATGTGGTTACTGGTTTAGATAATATTTGTTATTGTCAGATTGGCACTCTGTGGGTGATGAGGTTACTGATTTAGATAATATTTGTTATTGTCAGATTAGCACTCTGTGGGTGATGTGGTTACTGGTTTAGATAATATTTGTTATTGTCAGATTGGCACTCTGTGGGTGATGTGGTTACTGGTTTAGATAAGATAATATTTGTTATTGTCAGATTAGCACTCTGTGGGTGATGTGGTTACTGGTTTAGATAATATTTGTTATTGTCAGATTGGCACTCTGTGGGTGATGTGGTTACTGGTTTAGATAATATTTGTTATTGTCAGATTGGCACTCTGTGGGTGATGAGGTTACTGGTTTAGATAATATTTGTTATTGTCAGATTGGCACTCTGTGGGTGATGTGGTTACTGGTTTAGATAATATTTGTTATTGTCAGATTAGCACTCTGTGGGTGATGTGGTTACTGGTTTAGATAATATTTGTTATTGTCAGATTGGCACTCTGTGGGTGATGTGGTTACTGGTTTAGATAAGATAATATTTGTTATTGTCAGATTGGCACTCTGTGGGTGATGTGGTTACTGGTTTAGATAAGATAATATTTGTTATTGTCAGATTGGCACTCTGTGGGTGATGTGGTTACTGGTTTAGATAAGATAATATTTGTTATTGTCAGATTGGCACTCTGTGGGTGATGTGGTTACTGGTTTAGATAAGATAATATTTGTTATTGTCAGATTGGCACTCTGTGGGTGATGTGGTTACTGGTTTAGATAAGATAATATTTGTTATTGTCAGATTGGCACTCTGTGGGTGATGTGGTTACTGGTTTAGATAAGATAATATTTGTTATTGTCAGATTAGCACTCTGTGGGTGATGTGGTTACTGGTTTAGATAATATTTGTTATTGTCAGATTAGCACTCTGTGGGTGATGTGGTTACTGGTTTAGATAATATTTGTTATTGTCAGATTAGCACTCTGTGGGTGATGTGGTTACTGGTTTAAATAATATTTGTTATTGTCAGATTGGCACTCTGTGGGTGATGTGGTTACTGGTTTAGATAAGATAATATTTGTTATTGTCAGATTGGCACTCTGTGGGTGATGTGGTTACTGGTTTAGATAATATTTGTTATTGTCAGATTAGCACTCTGTGGGTGATGTGGTTACTGGTTTAGATAATATTTGTTATTGTCAGATTAGCACTCTGTGGGTGATGTGGTTACTGGTTTAGATAATATTTGTTATTGTCAGATTGGCACTCTGTGGGTGATGGGATCACTGATTACAGATTTAGAATCGACATCACTACACACCAGGCACACCTTTAGATGCTCCGTCTCCCGCAGCAAATGTCTTAAGGTGTAGATGCTTGTGTCTTCTATAAACATTCATTCATAAATGGTCTTCATAATGTCTCCTTTGCTCAATACAAGTGTTCCTGTAGCTGTCATTTTTGTAGCCAATAAAATTGAGCTCCTTTATTCACCCCTTGCACTCCTGCATGTCCTGGACAGTGTATCTACGTAAGTCCCTGTAGTGTTAAGGTGCTTCCACTCATGCTGCATTTTTTTATATTTGGACAAAAATTGTCAACATCACACCACTCTTTGCCAAGGGTGGTCATTCTAGTTTAGAATAAAGACTTGAAAATTTTATTTATCAACAGCTGTATAAAAAGAAGCTAATGAAAGTAGATCTCTGTATACAACAATAAGAAAGAGACAAACACTGTTTTTTGGCCACATAATGAGAAGAGAGACATTGCAGAACATCGGGACAACTGGAGTGAAAAAAGGGGTAGAGGCAAACCAAGAGAGATGACGCGCTGATGGGCTGAAACGATGGCATGAAGGGATATCATCAAGACAGCTGTTCCAGGCAGCCAGGGATCGTGATCTGTGGAGATGCATGAGCGCCTACACCAGTTGGCAGCAGCACGCGAGGATGATGATGTATGAAAATATAGATTTATCAGTGACTTATCCATTCTCTTTTTTAGGTCGACCAACAGAAATACCCGAACCAGATATCTACATTAATGAGTCTAAATACCAGGAGGCTGATAAATCGATCAAACGGCAAAAACTTCTCAAAGTAAGCTAGCAGTGGTTATTGTATCTTGTTTGTTCCCCTTTCCGTGGCTGTTGTGGAATTCCAGTTTTAAGTGTGCAGGACACAGTAAAGTCCTGTGTGATACCACTCCCAGCAGTGGAGATCAGCGCTTGTTTTGGGTTTCTGTTTTCATTTCTGTTGTCTTACAGTTTTAAGTGTGTAGGACAAAGTTACAGTCCTATAAAATACATTAAGTAAGTCTATTTTATAAATGACAAATTAGCTTACAGATCAGATCTGTTTTATTAATATAAATTGTGCATATAAATTTGCTTTTTATGATAAACATGCCTTTCATTTTGTAATATAGTTTACGAAAGGAGGATACAATATTTCTATCCTGGGTCACAATTCTACCATTTGGTTGCTCTGCCTGGAGCAGGGATCTCTTGTTTTTGTCCCTTTGGCCAAAAAAAAAATTTGTACAAAATGACCTTTTTGTAAAATTTTGTTAAATAGAAACATTGTGGTAAATCTCTGAAACTGTACCCTAAAAAACTAGGGATGAGAAAGGGAAGCAGAAGAAACTGGTGGAAAAGTTCTGGTTGTTCATCCGCTTCTGGACTCTAGTCCTGTTCCAGAAACTGAGTATGCGTGTAACAATCTGCTTTTAACTTTCATTCCATGTCTTTAAAAGTTCTGCAACTTTCACATCTGTATTCAAATTGAAATAGCGTTTGAATTTACAAAAAAAAATTAAGAGCTTAGATAATATCCATTTTGAATAAAAGATTCTGATATAGATTTTGTAATCTTTCATTTCAGAAGTACACCTTGTCCTCAAAGGTCATGGATGATGAAATCTACTTCTTCAGAAAACCAATTGCCCTGGAAAAGGTAATTTATGATATTTTTTCTCATAATTACAATTGTTTTTAACTTTACAATCCATTGTCAGTGAGAACGTGTATCAGTCGTCTCCATGTGGGATGCAATTTTTCATTGTTTGAAGCCCCACTGGCTTCTGCCGGGGGCCCTGAAAATAGCTGGGCCATATATATGAGCCTAACCGTTGAATGGGGTTTCTGGGACCTCTCCACGGGTGATCCTCATCCACATGGTGGCACTTTGTGTTACTGGGTGTTCATTGCTTGTGTGATGTCCTTGTTGGGTACAGCAAGAGAGAGAGAGAGAGAGAGAGAGTCAATAAGATTACCTTTGAATGAGGGTGATTTATTTGGTGTGAATTGTTCCCTCTGATTTAGATTGGTTTTGTTTCATTGAAAAAATACATGCCTGAATTGTATTTACCTAATTGCTTGTTTATTATCCGGGTTTCTGTGTCTTATAGGTATTTGTTAACATTTAACAGTGCTCATTTATAATATGTTTTTGATTTGTCTATGGTAATATTTTTCTAGTGTTCAGAATAAATATTTTCCTCCATTTGCTTTTTATTTTTTCTTAGCATTCACCCGCTGTAACATTGGCTTATTTGTGTGCAGACTGTTTTTTTTTTTCTACTTCTGTGCTTATTTAAATATGTAATTATTATGCCCGTTTACAGCATGGCTGCGATATTTGCCCCTTTTGGCCGACACATCCGACTTCCACTGGCATTTGTTGACCAGGTTAGCCTTTCCAGATACCGACTGTTTGTTCCTCGCCTCTCATGTAGATGCACTCCAACTTCGTAGGAAACTTCCCTTAGTCAGTCGACTTGTAGGACATGCTTATCATATTTCTGTTTCTTTTCTGTTATCGTCTGTTATTAGGTTTCCAGAATTGATGAAACTTGTTTCTTGTTTTTGAATCCGTTAAAAAAATGTTTTCACTTCAATGTTTATTATTGGTTTCTGCTTTCCATTGCTATTTACAGTTTTCATGGGGGGGGGGGGGGGGGGGGGGGGGGTGTTAAATATCTAATCCTCATGTCTGAACTGTTTCTTTTTTACTTTCTCCACAATGTCTTAGCTATTTGTTCTACCAGATCTCTTGTGCTTGCTGTGTCAGGTCTCATCCTGTTAAACAACAGAAGTGGCAGGCTGAACAGTTAAGAATGCTGGGCTTTCATGCAGGAGACCTAGGTTCAAATACTTGTTGAGGTTGGGGCAAAAATAACATCCTAACTTGCACAATCCATGGCAGCCACCAAAACTGGCACAAGAAGATTACCTTATCATGGACAGCCCAGAGCAAGTCATTATTCTGTGCCTTAGAACAGGGCACAATCAGCTTATCAGCCATGTGCACATGTGGACTAGCACTGAGACAACAGATCAAATCCTCCAAGGCTGTCCCAAATACAACATTTTCAAACAAAACTTCTGGCCAAAAGAGACATGGGGGAAGCCAAACTTTACGGGCCGCTAAGTGAAGTACAAAAGACAGTGAAGTTCATACTAGAGACAACATTGCAGATATGGATAATCTATTTCAAGCGAACGAAAAAAAAAAGAGACAGAACAATCCATGGCGATAGCACTTGCCATGCTGCTCTAAATACTCAGGCTCAGCGACCTCCCTACCCACAACACAAAAGTGGTGAATGTAGACAGGCATGGTAGTTTTCTTTAAGCAGACACAAAACTACACATGCCTGTTGATATGAAGCTTCATTGTTCATTTAAAAATCATCTTCATCGCAAATTGGACATGACCATAAGTGCTCCGATCTCCTCCTGAGTGTCTCTAAGTGGCTATCAACTCCCAGTCTGTTTTGGTTGATGAAACGATAGGTGGCTCTTCTCGCATGGTTTTGCTGTCTTACGGCTCCTGTTGGTACACTCAGGGTATGCAGTCTATTCAGTGAAAAATCATTTTCCAGGAAACTGAAAGCCTCAAAGCGATTGCTCTCTCGTATGGCATTGGTGATGTCTCTCCTGTCCATAGAGGACCCATTCCTGAAGATACCTGAATGAAAAGATGACTGATGAATAAATGTGTAATTGCAGGAGCCATCTCCCCTGTTGATGAAGCAGAACGTTGAGGAGACTCTCTTCCTGGACAACGAGGATTCCCTGGGGGTGGAGCCTGAGGCCAGCAATGATGGCACGTCCGTCAGCCTGGATGTTCCAAGCCCCGCCCCTACAAAATCACACAAAAGGGTAATAACTCTTAATTCTATGGCTTCAGTTAATTGTGTTGTTGTAATACATAAAGTACCGTACTGTTTCATGTATGAGATGACCCCTACTTTTGTCAGCTCGACATAAATATTTTATTTATTATCTATATCGGCTAGACTCTCACCTGCGGATGGGAAGGTAGTGAGTTCGGGTCCTGGCAGGGGCCGGACTTTTTCAAAAATGACCTTAGCTCCCAGGTTGGCCCAGCCTTGAGTGGGTACCAGGTACAGTCCTAGGAAGTAGAGGCGGCCGGCGTAAGGCTGACCATATCACCCACCTAGTGCCGTTAAGTCTATAAAATATAGGTCTAGCCATATATACCCAATACACCCAAAGGCGTGGAACAGGGTCCGTTACTTTTTTTTAATTACTTTTTTACTATCGATCTATAGAAAAATTACCCCCCTCCCCCCAACTGAGTTTGACACTTAAAAAATTTATTTGGTGATTTCATTTGTATCAGTTGGGGTATTCCATGTAAGGGGTTCCCATGTCCTCACTGGGGAGAGAGAGAGGGGGGGGGGGGTCCTATTGCGGCCCCCACAAGATTGCCTTAAAAGGTGACTAATTAGGGGTGTTTCCTTTGAAATTAGAGTACATCTGCCTAATAGGCATGGAACCGGCAGTCTGCATACAAATATGCCAGATCGGTTAATTTGGATGTGCGCACTTTGGTGTATGAAAGTAAGGATAGCACATAATTATGAAAATATGCTACCATCATTCAGACTAGCTAAAAAGTGCAACACAGGTACAGCCATGTCACTAGGCTACAACCCAGTGACATTGTGATGACAAAAGAGGACGATGAAGTAAATGCCAAATTCCTTCAGAATTTTGAAAATATACTGGCAGCAAATGACAATATCTAGCAGAATTATGGAAATATACTGGCAGCAAATAACAGTATCTAGCAGAACAATGAAACTGGCAGCAAATGACAATATCTGGCAGAACTATGAAAATATACTGGCAGCAAATGACAATATCTGGCAGAACTATGAAAATATACTGGCAGCAAATGACAATATCTGGCAGAACTATGAAAATATACAGGCAGCAAATGACAATATCTGGCAGAACTATGAAAATAAACAATAATTGTGCACAAATTTGTTTGGTGTGTAGAAGCCTGTGAACTCCCGCCGACAGCCCAGTGGCTATATTGTGTTTGCTGGAGAGATTCGTCGACAGATCTCACAGGACAACCCCAGCTGTTCATTCGGAGACATTAGCAAGATTGTTGGCACTAAGGTTTGTATCACTTTTTTGTCTGTATCACTTTTTTTATTGTGATTTTAATTGTTGATAGAGTAATAATTTGTTATTTTTTAGATATCTCTGTGATAAAGGTGATTACTTTTATCCATGTTTACCTGCTGTCTGTCCATTTGTATTTGCCAATATACAAACCATAGCCACATACACACCATACCAATACACATACTGTACCAACATATATACCATATCCACACTTCAGTGTATACTCATTTTTATTTTCATTATCTTTTTTCTTCTGCTCCTGCTTCTGCTTCTGCTCTTCCAGTTGTTGTAGCATCTTTTCATGTAAGGTTCTAGGTGTTCTGTTTGATCTCTATGTGCTCCTTCTGTATCTAACATACCTGCTTGTTCATTTATTTCCGTGTGTGCCACAAGGAGGTGGTATCCGTTTTACCACCATCCTGTAATTAGGATTAACTTCGCATAGGGTTGTTTGTAACTGTGCCTGTTAGACATGGGTTTTAAGCAGAGACAAGCTTGCAGAAACTGGGGCAAAGAAAAAGAGAATGTGCCAATCATCTCCTGCTCGTAAATTGATCACTGAGACACAGAGACAGCAGCTGCCTTGGATGATGGAATGTCATTAGGTCAGACACTTATCAAGGGAAAATACAAGGAATTGTGGAGAGAACAAACTAACAGTAAATATCCACAAGACCCCATCAGCAGACACAACAGAAAGCAACATACAACAGTTTTTCGTCTACAAACAGGACACTGTAGGCTCAACTACCACATGCATAAAATAAATATTGTACAGTCCCCACAGTGTGCTGTCAAACAGGACCACAAACACCTGAGCACACTCTACCTGCAACTTCGAAAAGACACCTGGCCTCAACAGCAGTGTGTACAGAGCAAGCTATAGGGAACCATGAAGGACCTGCTACTGACATTTGAGTTCATAGAGGCAACCCACCTGATGGTCTGATCTGAGCATACGAAACCAAACACAGAGAAGAAGAAGAAGAAGAATAGGTCAGACTGATGTGCTAGGATGTGGATATGAATCATTATCATCATCCTGTAACACTGCGTATCGTTGGGTCACCAGTTTCTGTTGACAGTCTGATCAGCTCTCTCCACCTTTGGTGGTCAGCTGCAGTGGACTTCATGGTTGCATACCTGAGGCCTGTCCAATCAGTCAGGTTCTGTAACCAGGTCTTTCTTTCCCTCTACTGAACCCTGCAGTAATGTTTTTGAGAGGCGTTTGGATCCTATTACACGTCCCTACCATTGCATTTTTCGCCTTTCCACTGTAGTTAAAAGAGGTTCATATGTTCAACAATTACCATATTTTCCCACATATAAGGGGATCCCATATACAAGACGCACCTTGATTTTGGAAACAAATAATATGATTATGTAAAGTTATTGAACTCACATTTTATTCATCACAGAAACCAGAAAATTCCTCGTCACCTTAAAATTTCTCATCCATATGATAGTCATTTAGCTAGTTCTCGTCTGTGTCTGATGACCAATCATATTGCCTCAGCATCAGTTCCATCTGTGGTATTTGAAATATCACACTTCTTCAGTGACTTGGCAACAATCTCAATTTTCACATTATCCTAGGATCTGTTCACCTCAGTGCAAACTTCTCCTGTCGTTGGTTTCTGGCCACTACCTGCTAGTATCATATTATTCCCAGAAGACTTCATCCACTGGTTTCATTTGTCTCTCATAGTTTATCTTAGTGGACACAGAAATTCCTCAGGTAACAAGTGGGGCCAGATGTAAAAGCTACTGTGGCGGGGGTAATTTTTAATTGTTAAATATTTTTAATTTTTTGTCACCTATGAACCGGCATTCCAAGTAAGGCCTTGAATTAGATATTTTCTAGTGAATTATTTGGTAGGTTTTTGAGGTTTTAAACAATGGCTCAACATCATGGCACACAGGTGTAACCTATCAGTGCTCCGCTCTTCTTCTAACTTAAGTCTGAGTCTGAAGGAGCACACAGTGCACAGGCTCTGTGGCACAGGCGAGGATCATGAAATACTTTGGGTATATTTTAAACTCCAAATGTTGCCCCGGCAGCGCTGTTAGGCCACCCTTTTCAATTTCCAACTGCCAAGGGATTTTTTTCGTGCGCAACAATGCACATGGATGTCCGATCTCACTACCCAGAGACCAGGGAGAATTACTAGAAGTCAAAGTCCATGTGAAAAAATCCCAGCCCTTACCAGGGATTGAAACCGGAGCCTCTAGCACTCGAGGTGGACACCATGCCTTGAGACCACATGGCCCCCACTGTTTAAGATGTACAGTATTTTTAGACCATTAATTGTTGGGAGACAAGTCCGTCTTGTGCTTGGTGGGGAAATGCAGTCTGTTTTAATCTACATAAAATTTATCTGTCAAACTTGCAGTGGAGAGCATTGTCTAAAGCAGAGAAGGATGTGTTTGAAGAGAAGGCTCGCAAGATTGCCGAGGAAATGGCCGCCAAGCAACAGGAAGCTGACAAGATGCTCAACGACTCTGTTAGGTCACAGAGTCCCTGGTCAGACATTGGAGGTGAGCTTCTCTTTCTCTCATCTGTGTCAGTGGAGCAGTTGTTTAAGGTGGAAGATGCTTTGGATCAGTGTTTCCCCCAACAAATTTAGGGGGTTACTCATTTCTTCTTCTTTTGAGCATTCACCGGCTGTAAGCTCCAGTGGAAAGTGTACTGGTTGTTCTACCACTTCTGGGCTTTATTTAGTCCTATTCCAGAACTTGAGTTTCGCATGCTCATCCATTTTACTGATCTGGCTTAAATATATATAGACTTATACTTTAAATGAAACACTCTAATTAGTCTCTTTTACAACATGCTTGTTTGGGGAAGGGGGTGGGGGGCACAGTAGGTCTATTCCTTTTTTCTTCACAGTGTGGCCCGGAGACTGACACCCTGATATCATTTACCAGAAGGAAAAAAACCTTTAACTTCAGATTGCAATCCTTGTAGCTTTTCTGACACTTATAAACCATAAAACCTTTAAAAATTAGAGGGGTCCAGGGGGTTCATACTTCATGTTCACCCAATTCTTACATTATGAGGTGAGATGCCCGGTTTCTTTCCTCCTTTTTTTTTCTTTTAATAGACCTGAATAGTGCAAATTTAAAAAAAAAAAAACTGCTCGGTTTCCAAGCTTCATATGTTTAGGGACAGACATACGTATACATATGAGGATTGAACCCAAACCATTGTGTTTGTTAGCCAGTGCACTAATTCATTATGCCACGAGAACAGTTATTAACAATTCTTTAGATTTTGGTCATTTTTTTAATTGATAAGATTTCCAGCTTATTTCCGGAGTGCCTACAAAGCAGTGATTGCAGGAAGGAGAGTTGGCTTTTAAAAATGGTTTCACTTCTGTTTTTTCCTTCATGAATGTCCTTACTTTCTTCAGATTTGATAAATGTCATAAAAGAAGTCAAAGAAATAGTAGATAATACACAATAAAAAAGAAATGTTTATAAATGTAACAACTAAATAATGCTTTGTCAAAGCCTGTCAGTGATTTTATTTTGCATAGATTTCTAATATGCGTATTATAATTCTTTAAAAATATTTGATCGAAAACAAGACTTCCACATTCAAATGCACATAAGACCCCATGTCGGTGCTTTGTCTCCATTCACTGTGGAGAAAAAAGAAAACAAGCACAAACACACACACACACACACACCATCACCATGTACACCCCCTTCCCCCCAAGGTCACCAACAAGATGTCAAATGAGGCGACTAATTAGGAGTGGTTTTCTTTAAAGTGGGACTGTGTCTGCCTGAGAAAAAAGGAACCAACAGCCTGCATTGGAAAAAGCTATATGTAAAACAAATGTGCATGCAAAACTGAAGTTCTGGATCTAGACTGAAATGCAGAAGTGGACAAACAACTCCTGAGTGGGGGGAAAAATTAAAATAAAATAAAAAAAAGACAAAAAAATAAATTTAGTGGAATAGAGAGATTTGCGTCTTTGCCTACTAGTTTTAAGGACACATCATGAGTATTTCCCAAATTTACCGTGTTGTATAAGAAGGAACATCTTGAACAACATATCATCAAACTATTTTGGATCTTTTCTCTAGGCCATGCCGGCGTCGTGGGTAACAGGCAGACAGATTGGCTGGATCTGCACCACTTGTTGGTTAATTGATGCATGATAGGGTAGATGTGGTCAAAGCCCTTTGGGAACAAGCAGCGGAATTAGTAGAGAAAGAAGATTATTATGACCTGGAGAGAATGAGGCACCTGGGTGTAACCAGAGGGTCTGCCTGGCTCACTACACTCAGAGGAAAGGCAAGATGGATGTATAACCAGATTGCGACCAGTACAATCAGTATTGTTAGTCTGGGCTGGCTGCTGATGATAAGGATGGAGCATGCATGGGAATACCCCGAGTGCTGTGTCTTGACTCAGCTCAACTCGACTCATCACAAAACTACAGCAAAAGGGAGACGATACATTTCTTTACTAATATGACAGATTTGTTTTGGTTACCTTAAGCTACAAATAATGTCCCTTGTGTGACAATAAACAGCAGGTGGTGTCATCAGAAGAGAAGCAGCTAACAGAAAGGGTAGAAAAGTAGGCCATCATGCAGGAGACCCAGGTTTTCTGTTTTTCGGCACAGCAGAAGTGGTTAAAAACAGGTAGCAGTGGCAAATTTGTGTTTTGGGCAGTATTATTAGAATCAATCCCCGCGTTTATTGAGCAGTTAGGCAAGGTAAATTCAGGAGACGACGTTGAATCGGCAACACTGAAAAGACTACAAAAACTTAAGGTCAAAAGAGGTGTCACCAAATATGAACACTATACAGGTAGCCAAAGAAGAATAGTAAACGAACACGGAACTGGTGTAATCAGTTGCCACACACAGTGGGATATACTGAAGATGGGATCTGAGCGCTTGTGGACTTGTCTGATGTCCAATGAGGATAATCTGTCGACTAACTAACTAACAAAGTAAAAAACAAAAAGAGTCATTAATAGATCATGTTCTGTGCGTTCACCAGCTGTAAACTTCTGCAGAAAGTTCTGGGTGTTTGTTCACTTCTGCACTTAAAACTTGTTCCAGAACTTGAGTTTTGTTTGCACATCCCTTTTACAGATCTGGCTTATTTGAATGCTGGCTGTTGGTTCCTTGCCTCTCAGGAAAATACCTCTAATTAGTCGCCTTCTAGGACATGTTGGGCAAGGGGGCAGTCTGTGTTACTCCTCCCTAAATGGGGCCCTGGTACTGAGACGGGGATCAGTTAAAAGGAGCGCAATGTTTGCTGCTGTCATAGAATACAGAATTCCTATTGTTAGTTTCAGTGTGATCCTTTGAAAATATAGTTTGTTCAAAGGCCTTGTACACAGAATCACAAGAAATTTGTACTTTTTAGCTTGTGTTTAGTCAGCTGAAATCATGACATGGCTACGAGAAAAAAAAAAGCATAGCTGCTAAAGGAACATAATTTAGCTATAATTTTGACATTCGAAATCTTTTTAATTTAATGAGTGACATTTTTTTAATTGAAAACAAGAATCCCTAGGGTTCATCCAGTCATTTGACAGTTCTTTTGTATCTGGGTCATTGATAGTTTTTAGGCATACAGGCTTTCCTGTTAGCTAATACAAATGCGCTGTCAGATAACTGCATGGTTTTTTTTTTATGTTGAAATTTTTTTTTATAAATTTTAAACAAACAGCATATATTTTTGGTCAGCGTCTGTGGTTTAGTCATGCAAGCAGGGTTTGTAATTGTGAGATGCCCCATTCTATTTCATCTGTAATCAGATAGTTACTGGTACCATCAGAATCAGAACTCTTCGCTTGCTGCTAAAGATGGGGATGGAGCACTTATGGGAGTGTCCCGAGTGCTATGATGTTTGTTCAGCATTCATTCTATTCCAGCTGTGGGCAGTTTATTTCAACACTTCACTTTTTTTATTGATTTGACAGTGACATTGACAGCCGTTCAGAAAGCAATGGCAAACTGCTGAGTGTAAAATTGCCAGTACAGTGACAAACAGTCAATAAATGCTTTTGTTTAATCTGTAACTCTTGTAAAGGTTAAAGTCGAGATAATTTACTTCATTGCACCAGGTTTTATCCCATACAGCTCAGTCTGTCTCATCAGAACGGCTAGCCGCCTGCCAAGAGCCTAGCAAGGAGCACGAACTCTGTAGCTCCAGTGACGATCCCCGGCAATCACCGTAAAATAAATTGCACTCGTGAACTGAAGGGCCCATCCATGGAACAAATCCATGACCTCCAGAGCATGAGGCAAACGACTCACCACTTTGGCATGGAGACCACCTTGTAAAAGATACGCAACTATTGTTGAAATTTTTTTCTGGTTAACTGCAGTGAGATAGACATTTTTCCTCACTTGAAAATGAAGAAGAAAAAGTTGCTTCGTCCAAACTCTGCATATCCAATGTGGGCTTTAAAAACATGAATTAGAACTAGTCTGGTGTCTTTCATGGAAGCATTGTAACATTTGCTGCAGCTTTTGGTTTTTATCATTCTCTTTTTATGTATGGTGTTAAATATGCATGAGCAATTTATTATATTCCCCCTTATTATTATGTAATTTTTTTTACTTGTTGGAGGGTCAGCCATGGGCAGTTTGTGTATATATGCTGGTTTACATTTACATTATCTGGATTCATCTGTTTGATTAATTGGCATATTCGTGGTGCTGTAGGCGAGGAATCATATACAGTAAAACTTTGATTAACCACGACCGGCTCTAGCTGACGGGCGGTGCTGTTGACGTCACCGGGTCGGGCTAACGATGCATTAACACAGCGGTTCTCAAACAAGAAATAAACTATTTTCGACAATGGCGAGAGAAGACAACTTAAATTTTAACTTTTCTTGATTATTGTCGCAGCACCCCTAGCATACGCTCAGTGCATCCCAGGCCTCGGCACGCAGTTTGAGAACCGCTGCGTTAACGCATCCTAGCCCGACCCAATGACGTCAGCAGCACGGCCCGTTAGCTAGAGCCAGTCGTGGATTAACCATCACTGTCTAGACCAGGGATGTGATGGATAACAAAAGAATGGATATCAGAAATCTCTCAATAATACATTTATAGAGTAATGGGATTTTATTGCGGGCTTGAGATGACAAGAAAAATAAAATCAGTTAAAAGTTAATAATACATACATATTGTATTTAATTTTACAAATTGATTAGTATTGACTTCAATGTAATAGTAGCCATTTACAGAAATGTCACGACTGAGACCAGTATAGTGACAACAGCGACTGGTTAGTGATGGGTCAGTGGCACACCAGATGAAGCTCAACTCCTCCGCCATCATACAGCAGTTGCTTCCAGCTTTATACTGTAGGGTGTAAAAGTAATCTGTGGACAGTTGTAAAGATGTCTGGTTTTTTTTTTTTCATCTTCTTCGCGTTCACCAGCTGTAAACTCTGGCGAAAGGTTCTGGTTGTTCGTCCACTTCTGGACTGCAGTCCTGTTCTACAACTTGAGTGTAGCGTGTGCATCCGTTTGACAGATCTGACTAATTTGTATGCAGACTGTTGGTTTCTTGCCTCTCAGGCAGATGCATTTCCACTATGAAGAAATCCCCCAATTAGTCGACTCTTACGACATGCTTTTGGGTAGGCAGTGTGTCTATTCTTGTTTTCCCTGTAACAGGGCCCCAGAACCCACACAGAAAATGGATATCAGAAAGTGATAGTTAAACTAGCAGTGGTTAAAAGAAGTTTCACTTTTAATTGCATTTCATTTTAATTGTTTTCCCCTCATGGGTTCTGTGGTTAGGTGGGGGAGGGGAGACGGTCGACTCAAGGCTGCTCAACTAGCATGTCATAAAAGGCGATTTGTAAGGGTTTGCTGAAAATCTGATGTGTTTGACAAAAAGACACCTACAATACAATATAAAACGATCTAATCAGACAGACTAACCTGGACAGCAGATACCCTAAGAATTTGGATAAGTTGGCCGAATGGCAGAAATATCGTAGCCATGTTGTTAAGGGACGTTTTGTATATATATATATATATATATATATATATATATATATATATTCATTTTTTTTTTATGAACGCAGAAAAAGGAGAAACAATCTGTTGATTGTCACTCTCAATAATATAGAATACACTCTAGAGTAGAAGGGGAAAAGGATTAAATCGATGCCTGCCTACTAAACATCCATGGTTGACCCTTTGACACTTCTTCATTTCTAACAAACCTCTTTTTTTTAAGTGTTTGTATTTGATGATGTGTTTTGTGTATATATACACATATATGTGTATTTTTATTTCACATTGTTTAAATAAATATAGTGTTGTTTTCTAGCTTTCAGCATGAGCTCCAGCCATTTTAAAAATCACGTATCAGTATATGTTTTTGTTAGAGTACTGCCTGAGAATTGATATTTGTCAAAGTTCACGGATTATCTCTGCCTTATCTATAGCCACTCCAACCACTCCTGCACACCCTCCCACTCAGACTAACCAGCCTAGTTATGTGGGGCACACGCTGTTTGCCCAGGGCCCAATAACTCCTGCAGGTGAGGCCATAATAACTTGATATTTTAGCGATAAGTCTTGATATTCATGTACCCCCCCCCCCCCCCCCCCCCAACCCCCCCCCCCCCCCCCCCCCCCCCCAGTGTTTGTAATGCTGGCCCTTGATTCAACAGTAAAAGAATGTGTCATTTGTAATTATCAAACTGAGATAATGTTTGGGTGTGTTAAACAGCTACAACTTTAATAATAAAAACTATATCAACAAGTAATTCCACCTGTAATAGCTACAAGTGCCATTACTTCCAAGATCAGGAATTCTCCTCCTCTTTCACTGGCTATAAACTCTGGTTGTTCATCCACTTCTGGACTCTAGTCTTGTTCCATAACTTGAGTTTTGGGAATGTATCAGTTTTACAGATCTGGCTTATTGTTATGCAGACTGTTGGTTCCTCACTTCTCAGGCAGATGCGCTTCGATTTTCTAGAAGAAAATACACCTAATTAGTCACATTTTACAACATGCTTTTTAGTGGGTCTATTCTTTTTCACCCTGAGAATGATGCTCCCAGAGCCCACACAGGGAGATCAAGAAAAATATCCCCTTATTTTTCAATCTTATTCCCAAACTTTCTATGTGTGTGTGCATGCGCCCGTGCACGTAATTACTTACATTTTTATCAGTTTCTGAATGTTTTGTTTTTGTTTTTTTGGGTGGTTGTTTGGCATGCTTCCCACAATATTCTTTGTTCAGCATTTTTATTGTTCAGTCAAAAAAAAAAGCAGCTGCTGTCTGGAGCTTTGTTTTTGTTGTCAGCATGCACATGAACTTTGGTGTTTTGTGCTTACATTTTAGTTTCCATTTTTCCCTTAGACGTCTTGTTTAGGCTGCTAATTATGTTATGTAACTGTCCTAAATATATACTGAGGGTGGTGGTCCTGTTCTGCGACATAAATTGGGCTGTTTTTTTTTCCTTTATTTTAAACATGTTGCACGGTACCGGAGCAATTAGTGGTAGGGACCTGAAGATTACTGCTCCTCTTCTGGTGACCTCCGTAATGAAGTGGTCAAGAAGTTCAACTCACACTAGACACACACACAAAATCAAGAGCTGTAGTTACTATGCTAGGACTTGAACCTGTCACCTCTAAATGATGACAGGGCCTTGCTGCAGAAACAATTGTACTAAGGCCCATCACCAGCTAGGCACCCGTAGGGGATTTTTGTGTTTAATTGTTATTCTATTTTTCTACTTCTTTCCATGAGTGCTGATCAGTACATTGTCTGTCTGTTTATTATTTATAATTTTTCTATGGTCCCAAAGGTTCCCTATCTTTTTATTTCTGTGTTTTAATAGCTCAGACTTGTACATTTGAGAATCAGCCAGGTTAAGGATGTTTGTCCAAGTTTAGTTTTGCTGTTGCATTAATCATATGCATGCCATATTCAACCCTTTCAGGCATGTTTACGGGGACTGCCGGGCCGCATCATTCTCAAATGGTCAATGGGCTAGGCTTCTCCGCACCTCCAGAGTTCCCCTCGATGCCTCCAGTACCCATGCTAAACGGTCACAGCTCCTTCTCACATGGTCAGCATGCTACCACTAACACCGCACCTAACCTTTGTAGCTCTCCTGTTTGTAAACTCCTCATGCTAGGGCAAAGCCCCGCTGCCAACCACATCCATGTCTCTAAACTTCCCGCTTCCTTGTAGCTCGCATGAAGGTATGCCCTGATCTGAATCTGCTTCCCGCCCTTGCTCTGCCCACTAACACTGCCCCTTAGCTTAGACAACTCACGTCTGCTTACTTACCCACTTTTTAACCAATCATTTCAAAGATAAACTTTTAACCAATCATTTCAATGATAGAAATAATGAAATCTAGTGCTTCTTACTGCTTGAAATATAAACTCACTTTCTGCTCTAACATTTCCTCTAAATATGTTGCTATATGTTATGTTACTTTATGTTATGTTATATTAGTTTAAAGGTTTGGTTATATGCTAGTTAATGTTACACTGGGTTGACTTGTTGTCACCACTTTCCTCTAGGGTTGACTCTGCCACATAAAGGGGGTACTGGATCTCTTCTTCTTTGCATTCATCGGCTGTAAACTCCAAGGGGAAAGTCCTGGTTGTTCCTCCACTTCTGGACTCAAGTCTTGTTACAGAACCTGACTGTTGCATGCACATTTGTATTTGGCTTATTTGTATGCAGACTGTTAGTTCCTTGCTTCTCAGGCAGAGGCACTGCGACTTTGAAGGAAGCACCACCACCCCCACTCCCCCTTCCTCCTGCGACATGCTTGTTAGGAAGGCATTGGGTCTGTTCTTGTTTTCTCTACAATAGGACCTCGGAACCCACACAGGGATGTGACTTTAATAATAGTTAATGCTTGCATAATACTGCCGTGCGTGCTGCTTACATGTGCTAATGAATATATTGGCTTGTTTATGTCTTTGTTACCTCTCAATTTTTTTTAATTTCCACCTGTATATATCTTGTGGTTTTAGCACTAGTTAGAGCATGCGGTTCTTTATTATTATCCTACCCCATATGACGTCACAGGACAGTCCAACATTTTAGAGGATGGTAAGACTGGTTCCCAGCTTTCTGATGCTTTTAACGACCACAAAACATCTAGAACTGGCCCTAACCCCAACTCACCTATGTTCCACGAGAGAGTGCAGCCTAGGTCCCACGATTGCATGCAGCCTATCTACCACCCTCTGAAATATTAGATTGTCCCATGACCTGTGGATTTCCCCTGGGGTAGAATATGAATAAAGCACCGAGCATGCACAGTGCTATAATGATAGTCTTCCTTTACGTGTGCTGATGTCTTCCTTTACGTGTGCTGATGTCTTCCTTTACGTGTGCTGATGTCTTCCTTTACGTGTGCTGATGTCTTCCTTTACGTGTGCTGATGTCTTCCTTTACGTGTGCTGATGTCTTCCTTTACGTGTGCTGATGTCTTCCTTTACGTGTGCTGATGTCTTCCTTTACGTGTGCTGATGGTTAGAAAGCATGGCTGGGTCCGGCTGTGAAGAAAGATTTAGCACTAAAGGGTTGTCAGGTCAGACTGGATGTTGTGGGTGGGTCAGCAATAAACAGAATATAAGTGATGGTGCCCGGCGCTGGTTCTGGGGATCCAATTTTGGGAGAGGGGGGAAAAAGAATTGACCCACTTATCTTACATTATGAAACTGTTAATTGAACTGAAACCTAATCGTATTGTGCACTGTTAATTGAACTGAAACCTAACCGTATTGTGCACTGTTAATTGAACTGAAACCTAATCGTATTGTGCACTGTTAATTGAACTGAAACCTAATCGTATTGTGCACTGTTAATTGAACTGAAACCTAACCGTATTGTGGACTGTTAATTGAACTGAAACTTAACCGTATTGTGGACTGTTAATTGAACTGAAACCTTACTGAATAGTGGACTGTTAATTGAACTGAAACCTTACTGAATAGTGCACTGTTAATTGAACTGAAACCTTACTGAATAGTGGACTGTTAATTGAACTGAAACCTTACTGAATAGTGCACTGTTAATTGAACTGAAACCTTACTGAATAGTGCACTGTTAATTGAACTGAAACCTTACTGAATAGTGCACTGTTAATTGAACTGAAACCTTACTGAATAGTGGACTGTTAATTGAACTGAAACCTAACCGTATAGTGCACTGTTAATTGAACTGAAACCTAACCGTATTGTGGACTGGTAATTGAACTGAAACCTAACCGTATTGTGCACTGTTAATTGAACTGAAACCTAACCGTATAGTGCACTGTTAATTGAACTGAAACCTAACCGTATTGTGGACTGTTAATTGAACTGAAACCTAACCGTATAGTGCACTGTTAATTGAACTGAAACCTAACCGTATTGTGGACTGTTAATTGAACTGAAACCTAACCGTATAGTGCACTGTTAATTGAACTGAAACCTAACCGTATTGTGGACTGTCAATTGAACTGAAACCTAACCGTATTGTGGACTGTTAATTGAACTGAAACCTAACCGTATAGTGCACTGTTAATTGAACTGAAACCTAACCGTATTGTGGACTGTTAATTGAACTGAAACCTAACCGTATTGTGGACTGTCAATTGAACTGAAACCTAACCGTATTGTGGACTGTTAATTGAACTGAAACCTAACCGTATAGTGCACTGTTAATTGAACTGAAACCTAATCGTATTGTGGACTGTTAATTGAACTGAAACCTAACCGTATTGTGGACTGTCAATTGAACTGAAACCTAATCGTATTGTGGACTGTTAATTGAACTGAAACCTAATCGTATTGTGCACTGTTAATTGAACTGAAACCTAATCGTATTGTGCACTGTTAATTGAACTGAAACCTAATCGTATTGTGGACTGTTAATTGAACTGAAACCTAATCGTATTGTGCACTGTTAATTGAACTGAAACCTAACCGTATTGTGCACTGTTAATTGAACTGAAACCTAATCGTATTGTGCACTGTTAATTGAACTGAAACCTAATCGTATTGTGCACTGTTAATTGAACTGAAACCTAATCGTATTGTGGACTGTTAATTGAACTGAAACCTAATCGTATTGTGCACTGTTAATTGAACTGAAACCTAACCGTATTGTGCACTGTTAATTGAACTGAAACCTAATCGTATTGTGCACTGTTAATTGAACTGAAACCTAACCGTATTGTGGACTGTTAATTGAACTGAAACCTAATCGTATTGTGCACTGTTAATTAAACTGAAACCTTACTGAATAGTGGACTGTTAATTGAACTGAAACCTAACCGTATTGTGCACTGTTAATTGAACTGAAACCTAACCGTATAGTGCACTGTTAATTGAACTGAAACCTAACCGTATAGTGCACTGTTAATTGAACTGAAACCTAACCGTATTGTGGACTGTTAATTGAACTGAAACCTAACCGTATTGTGGACTGTCAATTGAACTGAAACCTAACCGTATTGTGGACTGTTAATTGAACTGAAACCTAACCGTATAGTGCACTGTTAATTGAACTGAAACCTAATCGTATTGTGGACTGTTAATTGAACTGAAACCTAACCGTATTGTGGACTGTCAATTGAACTGAAACCTAATCGTATTGTGGACTGTTAATTGAACTGAAACCTAATCGTATTGTGCACTGTTAATTGAACTGAAACCTAATCGTATTGTGCACTGTTAATTGAACTGAAACCTAATCGTATTGTGGACTGTTAATTGAACTGAAACCTAATCGTATTGTGCACTGTTAATTGAACTGAAACCTAACCGTATTGTGCACTGTTAATTGAACTGAAACCTAATCGTATTGTGCACTGTTAATTGAACTGAAACCTAATCGTATTGTGCACTGTTAATTGAACTTAAACCTAATCGTATTGTGGACTGTTAATTGAACTGAAACCTAATCGTATTGTGCACTGTTAATTGAACTGAAACCTAACCGTATTGTGCACTGTTAATTGAACTGAAACCTAATCGTATTGTGCACTGTTAATTGAACTGAAACCTAACCGTATTGTGGACTGTTAATTGAACTGAAACCTAATCGTATTGTGCACTGTTAATTGAACTGAAACCTAACCGTATTGTGGACTGTTAATTGAACTGAAACCTAATCGTATTGTGCACTGTTAATTGAACTGAAACCTAACCGTATTGTGCACTGTTAATTGAACTGAAACCTAATCGTATTGTGGACTGTTAATTGAACTGAAACCTAACCGTATTGTGCACTGTTAATTGAACTGAAACCTAACCGTATTGTGGACTGTTAATTGAACTGAAACCTAATCGTATTGTGCACTGTTAATTGAACTGAAACCTAACCGTATTGTGCACTGTTAATTGAACTGAAACCTAATCGTATTGTGGACTGTTAATTGAACTGAAACCTAACTGTATTGTGCACTGTTAATTGAACTGAAACCTAACCGTATTGTGGACTGTTAATTGAACTGAAACCTAATCGTATTGTGCACTGTTAATTGAACTGAAACCTAACCGTATTGTGCACTGTCAATTGAACTGAAACCTAACCGTATTGTGCACTGTTAATTGAACTGAAACCTAACCGTATTGTGGACTGTTAATTGAACTGAAACCTAACCGTATTGTGCACTGTTAATTGAACTGAAACCTAACCGTATTGTGGACTGTTAATTGAACTGAAACCTAATCGTATTGTGCACTGTTAATTGAACTGAAACCTAACCGTATTGTGCACTGTTAATTGAACTGAAACCTAATCGTATTGTGGACTGTTAATTGAACTGAAACCTAACCGTATTGTGCACTGTTAATTGAACTGAAACCTAACCGTATTGTGCACTGTTAATTGAACTGAAACCTAATCGTATTGTGGACTGTTAATTGAACTGAAACCTAATCGTATCATGACACCATTAAGGTTAACTTCAGTGAAATATCTAATAGTTACCAAAATAAATTTTCAACCACTTTTAACTATTATATTGATAGCAGTCTTTGTGGACATTTCCTATTTTGCTTTTGTCGTTAATATAGTGCTTGTTTAACTTGATGTTATTAATTTTACATTATT